TGAAAGAGGTGTAATCTAGAGAGTAGAAAAGAAATAAGGATGAAAACGAAGATAATACTCGACATATACAGAATAACGATCGCTTTTCATTTAGAAGAAATTCAAAAGATAAATTCAGCCTTTTATTTTTAACTCCCAACAGTCGTTATCTCAAACAATTTAACCCACTTAACATAAAGGTTCAAATGTACACAAAGGTAAGCTTTATATACAAAATATGAAAAAATTAACTCTAAGATGTATAGTGAAAAATAAAGTATCCTCATCGCGTTTTCTTTACTCACTGAGTCTAGCAAACAAACAAGTGCTTTATTTTGATTTTGTTGAACTCGATTTTGCTTAATCTGTTTTCCTTTAAATTTCTAGTTCAACTGAATGCTTGTGTTCTTAATTTCAAAAAATGTGACGTGGAAAATATATTCTCAGGTTATACAAAAAGGATTTCACAAAGATCAAGAGTACATCTAATCATGCATTCAAGTGGGAACACCTTTACTTCAGCCCAACATCATTGAAAAGATATGTGAAATTCTGTGCACACGAAAGCACACGCATATACACGTAGTCAAAGCAACTACACATTCCTTGCATATCATTTTGTGATCATATCAGCGGTATATTTGGTGCTAATAACATTACTTAGAAAATCACCAGCACTTCCTTGCAGCTAAAAGATATAAAGATTTTTAATGAGCGATAAAATGAAAGAAGCATATATTTTGGCAGCGATAAAAATAACCGGTGAAGTAGGAGTCTATTAAAGCCTAATGGCTTTGTAGTTAAGGAATTTCTATTGTCTTGACAAAAACAATAGACAACTTAGTAATTAAAAAAAGGGTTGCATATAAATACGCAACACCACAAACACAGACTCTTTAGTGCTTTGAAGAAGAGGATAACTCCAAAGACAAGAAAAATAAAAAAAAATCAGAGCTACATATACAAGGATAAAAATCATAGCTCAACCATGTAAGGACATCCTAAACGGGTGAAACTCGCTAATAAGAGTGAGTTTAAAGAAAGATAAATACAGGGATACAAAGAAGCGTAGTTTTTTTATCCCCGTTCTGGCGAGAATGAAAAAAAAAATCTAGTATTTCTCATGAGGGTTGCGAAAAACATATTCACACATCCAGGAGAAATCATTGAGGGAGTAATTTCAGGAAAATAAAGGCTACTTGGGTTGCTAATAAAATTGCAGCACGTCCCTCTATGCTGGTATCTTTTCTTAAATATGTAGATAAAAGTATGTGCATTGGCACCATTCCCAAAGTATGGAAGAAAAAAGATAATCAAATCACTTTGACACGAAATACATAACACTTTAAAAGTGAGACTTTCTAAGGTAGCATACATTCTAAACAAGTACTCATAAAGCGCAGAAATACGTATCAGAATGTTTATTTGATTCATCATTATCCCCACATTGTCGCATGTGCCCAATTTCAGTGAATCGGTTTGTGGGATTAAAGCTTTAACGATCTCCACTTTCCTTTACCGCTGCTGCTCTTATTTTTCGTGATGGTTCCCGTGCGAGCGCTCTTAGCGGTGTCGATTTTGGAGCGAACACTCTCGATGTTTTTGTTTGCCAAAGATCGATCATACTGAGCACGCAGCACAGAGTGTCCAAGCACATTGCGCGCCTCCACTATTAGCCGATCCCTAGCCTCAGCACCACTGGGGTCGACAAGCCGCATTTGTTTGTACCCCTCACGCTGCCACGCACAAAATTTATCAACGATATCAGCCTGTACAGCGTTATGGTCAACACCGAGGATATCATAATAGGTTCCAGTGATGTTGGAGTGTGGATAATGACAACGTGCAGGAAGTTGTATCTGAAAGCCTTCCAGTGAATTTTGAGATGGTACAGACTTAATTTGGACGCAGGCACTGCTTAGGGTCGGGCTACCATGACTACTGCTGTAACACGATGTTGTTGTGTGGCTCGAGAAAGATGCATCCAGGAGTGATGCCGCTGGTGGAAACGAGTCAGCTGCAGCGGTAGCCTGAATGCCGCGTTGGTAAGCTTGAGCCCCTGTAGTTGAGGTTGTAAAAAAAGTTGGGACGGTCGGACCGGGGGTCGGTGTCAGTTTCGGTGTATGAGTAGCAATTTGTATATTGTCATAAATATTAGAATTCTGTGTATCTCTACTTTCGAAATTAGAGTTCGGGCATCCAAAGGAAGTGTGATGTGTAATCCCACCGAATAAACCTTTCTGATCTGTTAGTGACAGACGCTTAGGCGAGTTTGGATCCATAAAGTGCAAGGGGATCAACTCCATCGGAACGCTGTTGAGGAGCTTTGACTGTGTGGCAGCATCCAACTCCGAAAAGTGGTGGGCGTGCTCGCAGTAGTCATTATATGGGCACTCCCCGCTTTCAAAAAAAACCATGCAAACTCGTTCTTTAAGCGCTGATGAACGACTGACAGCAGCACCAGTCGCTTCATCGGCTGCAGCCATGGTCGCAGATTCCATGTGGTCCCACATGTTAGCAGCAGAGGAAACGGGAAAGAATCCCCTTGATTGCACGGTAAAAGACATAATTACAGATATTCGATATCTTAGCAGGTGTTTTTAATTATGTGTCTTTGGACTATTTTTTTTTAGAAAATAAGAAATGGAAAGTATTTTTTTTCGACAAAAGCGTGAAAAACTATGACATGGGAAGTAAAAGTGAGAAATACAATAAACAAGTTAGCTTACATATATATAAATTTTCGCTAAAATACAACTCTTCCTCCAAAGAAATACCAGGTAAAGGATATTTTCTTGAGAAAGCAAATTTTTTTCTTTTTTTAATGAGAAGTAAAAGATAAATCCATTGGAATGAAACAACTAGAAAAGAACGAGCTTCCCTTCATGTAGCGTGACTACTTACTAATCATAATATTCTCTAGACCCTCCTTCGATTTCACAAACCTAAGCATCCCCCGATTCCTTCGTTCTAAAGCAATTCTTAAACTGCCCAATTCCATCGTTATACAAAGCTATTGCATGTATTTCAAAGGGGAGGAAGGGGGGAATCACATATACTAGCTATTCAATAACATCTTCAACATACCCATCATACGCTATTTTCGCTGCTCATCCTTATTAATCTCTGGGTTTTGTTGCACAGATGCTCGCAGTTCGCGAATGAGATCATCCGAAGTCTTTTCACTATGCTTCATACCCGGCTGCATGCGCGCAAGGTCCTTATCCACAGCATACCGTTTATTTAAGAACTTCTTGAGCATGTCGCCACGGGCGCGTTCTAAATCACTCCTAATGCGATCCTTCCGCTCCTTATAGGCAGCCGTTTCGCGCGACATACGCTCCGTATCCATCCGCTTCAGCTCTGCCATCTCTTCCTGTGTCAATGCTTTTTTACGCTTGTCAAAATCTTCTCGAATAACCTGTTCCCATGGCGAGTTACATCCCAGACCCTCTTTGCCAATATTTTGGTCTTCACGGGCCACCTTCTTAACTTGCTCTGGATCTAACTCCCAAAATCGCCACTCGTTCCACTTCTGTGCTGTCTCCAGCTCGCGCCAAGTAACCTGTAGGATATATTCTACTGGCCAACCCCAGAAGTACTTTTTCTCCAACGTGCACCAATCGTCCTGGCACTCCTTGATGCCGTGGTTAATGCGCTTGACAAGGGTCATTGTCACATTATAATAGGTTGACTCCGGGGGTATGTCCGATGTGGCTAGAAACGCCTGAAGTTCTGAAGCAGCTGCCAGCAGCTTTGGCTTCCACAGCGGCTCCACTGCAATGCCAGAGAGCCCAGTCGTCACCTTGACAGGAAACGCACGAGGGATGTAATCATCGCTAATCATTCTACGCACGGATGTTCGACGAAAAAGGGAAAGCAGTCTTTGTGTCTGAAGTATCATATTTAAAATAACAATCAAATGCAAAGCTTATCTATACGTCGTATTTGGTGAAAATAACAAATAAACTACCGATAATACCTAATGCTCCTACAAATTTGATCCTATTTGAGTTACAAGCGTACTTTAATCCCTTTCCACTCCAAAGATAATTTTACACCTGTATACGACTACTTTCGATTTGGTTTGAGTACTCTTTAAAATGAAGAGAAACCTAAAAAATCACTTGAGAAACCTTTACCACCCTCCTTTATTTCGCTTTTTGTAAGAAAAAGCGGAATGTTTAAATTTGAAATAAAGTTGAAAAAAGAAGAAAGGATGGGGGAAAAAAATAAGCAGCAAAGTGATTGGAAATAACTCTCATTAACATAAGTATTCCAAAAAGATGAAGGAAATATTCCGTTTGGAGGATTCCTCCTAAACTACCATATAGGGTGGAAGGATTTTGTAACACGTCTAACTCTTAATAGTCCTCCCACTCATCGATTAGTTACAAAATATAGTTTTTTCGATACTAATATTCGATATAATTATTTTTCGAGTACTTATTTATATTTATATTTGTATATATATATATAGGTATATTTTTCATTGAGAAATTGTACAAAATCTGCAAAGTGTAGACCTCATACAGTTGTGCTAATACATGGAGAATTAATAGGAGTATAAGAAGAGGAGCAAAAGGAAACAAAGGGTGCAGCTGCGTTAGTGGTGAAAATGTAGACTGAGTAAGCTTCCTTTTTACGTATGTGCCATTGTTAACACGAACTCCTAGGATGTTGATGATTATTCTTATGTAGCTCTGGTTTACATTAATAGAACACAATGCGTATTATAGAAAGAATAAACGCTTGCTAAAATCCGTGAGAACAAGAACATTCAGCTATACGGCACGAATGATTGGAAAAACTCACTCAAAATCGTAGTAATAATAATATTCAATCCCCTCCAAAGAAAAAACAAACGACATGCATCAACGTTCACGTGAAAATATGCATTGGAGCTATGATTTAAAAATCCTTTACACCATGAATTTTTCCTAGCAACATTACACCAGCCACTCGTCACCGTTGTCTAACACTTCCATATGCGGCATGTGTTATCCTTTGAACCAGTCAAAATCATGTTCCCTTGGTAGTTAAAAGCGCACGAAAATATTTCATCCGCGTGGCCGATCAATGTCTGCAATGTTTGACCAGATTCAACATCCCATATGCGACACGTCTTGTCACTCGAGGCTGTGATGATTTTATTTCCCTGGGGGTTGAACTGAACCATCGATATCTCACAATCGTGTCCGATAAGACTGGAAACACAGTTGAAGGAGTTGGTGTCGTATACTCGCGCCGTGGAGTCTGCACTCGCACTCACGACCTGGCTGCCTGTGGTATTAAAAACTACGTCGAGAACCTCATCCGTGTGTCCACGAAGGGTACTTAGACAGCTACCGGAGCCGACATCCCACAACTTGCAGGTGCGATCAATACTTCCTGTAACTGCCATATTCGATGCAAAGTTGAACTGTGCGGAGGAAATCTCACCCCGGTGGCCCTCCAGTGTCCTCACAAGCTTTCCAGTGCGCACGTCCCACAGCATTGCTGTGTTATCGAAGGAACCAGTCATGACAAGGTTGCCGGAAGAGTTAAACTTGACAGAGACAATTTCAGCAGAGTGGCCAATCAAAGAAAATAGCTCGTCGCCTCGTTCGACATCCCAAACCTTGGCGGTTTTGTCCATGGAACCAGTTGCTAGAAGCGTACTCTGAGGGTTAAATGAAAGGCACACAACCTCTGTCACGTGTCCGGTAAGAGTGTAGAAGCATTGTCCAGTTGATGCATCCCACAACCTGCATGTCTTGTCGAAGCTACCGGTCACAACACGGTTTCCATAGGGGTTATTAAAAGCTACGGAGTATACTACGTTACGATGACCTTCCAAAGATAGCAACTCATTGCCAGTCGCGGTGTCCCACACTTTACAAACGCGGTCGTAGCTACCTGTTACAAACTTGTCACCACCCTTGTTGAAAGCACAATTCGTGAGAGGGAGCAAATGGGCACGCAAACTTTTGAAAAGGTAAAATGTCTGCTTTTGATAGCCCTCCTTGAGTTTTTCAACTAAACGTTTTAAATATTGCATAATGGACGGACGATACTTCTCTGTCAAGAGTGACTCAGATTGTATTAGTTCATTTGCCACAAGAGTAAGATTTGATGACGGGGTAAGTGTCAGTAAGTCTATCACTTTTTGACCAATTTCACCCGACGAAGTTTCGTATTCTAATGTAATACCCGGTGGGTAATACCGCAAGAAAAAGGAGCGAAGTCTCATTGGTATCCTACTGAATTGTCTTTTACGCAATAATATTGAACGCTTCGTGCCCCACTCGATTAGTTGAATACACGTTAATTTTGAGAATTTTTTAATGTGTCTCCTGATCAATACACACAGAATGGCTACGAAAATATTGTATGAATAGGGTATCAGATCAATAACCTTTGAAGAGGGCACATTCAGGATAATATTAGAATCTGTAAGACAGGGCTATACATAATTTACATGTTTGTCCTCAAAAAAAAGCATGTAATTTGGTTTGGACAACAATCTTACACGGAGATGGTGCCACAGAGTTGCCCACACAAATATGTACAACACATGAATGACTGAAAACACAAGGATGCCATTTTTCAAAAAAAGAAAACTACTCAGTGACCGCTGAAAAGGGGTATCGAGGCCAAATTTAAACAAATATTATATTTATATCTATCTCCTGTCACAAACAAGAGGCCTCGAAAGTTCGAATAATACCTTGCTCTAATGTCATCCATAATGAACAAGGCCCCCCCCCCCCATCGAAAAACATATCCCTCTCTGTATTATCATCATATCACATCACAGCAATCGTTCATCACTAAGGAAAGCAAATCCTGACACTTAATCAATAAATATAATTTTCATTGCTAGAATGAGACAACAAATCGATACCCATGGCGACAGCCGATCGCCCACCACACTACATTTGTACAAGAATTTCTTGTATAGCTCATAACTATCACGGTGGAAAAGAGTAGGGCTATATTGCCGCAAATACGTGGCCGTACAGATGGTCAGGAGCAAGATGTACAGGATAGTCTCGAAATCGAAAAAGGCACTCATACCGTCTATCAATCAAGACTTTTAAGGCAGACCTTCTATTAAACATGAAAATATAGATAAATCAGCAAAAGACATGTAAATATATAAATATATAAAGATATATAAATTAAATAGAGACATTTGAGCATTTATAATTTCTTTCCTATAGGATAGTGTGATAAGTAGGTATTCTATGAAAACTATATCCACTAAAGCAATAAAGTGCATAAGCTCTCTCGCAAAGTTTCTTCGTCGAAAAACTTACCTAATTTTATTCTGGACCTCAAAGCAAAAAAATCTACACAAAAATAAGTGATAACAAAGGGATCACATCTATTTATATAATATACATTCTAAAAGCTCTATTATATTTGATCCCTTCTTGGGGCTCTACCCCTTTTCAACTTGCGATGATGCTCCATATCACCATGACTGGCAAGAAGAGCATCAACACGACGAATGCTAACACTACTCTCAGAGGTGTGAACGAGTGGAGCGGGTGAGAGCGGGGGGGGGACACCGCCATCTGTTCCTTCGTCTGCTAACTCTGAAACCATGGAGGCAGAACTGCTTTTCCTAGTCGATTCAACCCCAGAGGAAAGCCTTGGAAGAAGCACAATTCCCTTATATCCAGGTACTGAAGAAGGACGCTGCGGCTCGGGTGGAGTCCTAGTGACGTCACCCTTTGCTGGAGTATTGGGCATTTGGTCTTCCATTGAGGACTGAAGCATCTTGAGTTGCACATGGCGGTCTGCTGCCTCCGTCTGTGCTGTAGCTAATCGTTTTCGTAGCCCGGGCTGTCGATCTAAATGAGGAGCGACAGTCGGTTGTGCTAATACATTAGATGTATGCAAAAGATTCATAAAATTCTCTTGCATAGCGCCCAGCCTGTTACGAAGACGTCTCATCTCGGACAAGGCCTCGTCGTACTTAGCCATGTGTGAGGCCTGAAGTGTGAGCTTGGAATTTTTATTCTGGAGGTGCTTGATCAGCACTTTCAGATTATCAATGGTGGCGACCATGGCTTCCATTTGGTTCTGGTGCGTTCTCTGAGTCTGTAGCAGCTGTTCCTGAAGAAGCTTCTTTGATTTGGTAGCAAACTTTCCAGTGTCCCCGGCATCTATGTATTCCAATATGCGGCGCTGCAAGCGGTCAATCTGCAAATTCAAGCTCTCCTGCGTGAAGCGTAGATTCAGAATAATGTTATTCTTCTCCAGCAACTCATCTTGCAAGGTAGCAACACTCTTTTCCGCCTCCGTAAATGGCGCACTATAGATGCGTCGAACTTCATCCGGGCTAGAGCCTTCTATATGGGCCAGTCTGTTCACAAGACGGCTGATGGTCGTATTCAGTTCGACAATGTGGCGCTGTAGTGTGTTTTCACGTGCTGGAACATCTACCTGCAATTGCCGGCGAAGCTCGTCAAGAACAACATCACGTTGTTGTTGCTCCTGTTGGTGTCGGGCTTGCAATTCTACCGATTCAGTCATATCCTCTAGTATTGGTATTGGTTTGGGTGTCGCTATGCGCTGCTGTGAGTCAGCTACCAAATGTGTTTCTCTTCTGTTCTCGGATGCATGTCGATTTGAAGCTAGCAAAGAACGTAGTTGAGCCACCTCAGATGTGTGTTGCTTCACTAACTCCTCCATGCCTTTTTCATGAGATCGAAGTTGCTGACGAAGTTGACGATTGGTTTCTTGGGCAGTTATGAGGTGTTCTCTCGCAACAGCTAGGTCCTTCTCCGCGCGCGCTAGTTGGCTACGGAGCTCCGAGATACTGTGGAGGTTGCTAAATTCCATTTTAGAGGCTTTCCGCGCGATTGATGACACAATATTCTTCTGATATGCTATTTCCGCATCAGCAGATCTTGAAGAGGAGGTAGGGTCAGCCACTGCAGATGACGCTACCGTAGTATCAACAGTTGTAGGTTGAACCGTTGTGGATGAACAGGGGTAAGGCGCAGGGGTTGTAGAACCAACGTCCACATCAGTGGCTAAAACTTGAGTTCCTTTTTCGTGAAAAAGCGTCTGCGGTCGTGTCTCTCGTGAGGAATGACGATCTACAGCATGTCGGTCTTTTTCAGACTGCAGACGATGAAATTGATGCTTCAGGTCAACCAATTCGGCTTCCTTATGACGCAAATTTTGATGAAGCTGATAAACCATGCGTTGTGTATCTTCATGGCGAGTCAATGTCTCCTTCTCCTTATTAACACGCTCATTCAACTCTTGCTGAATCGATTTGATCCGGTGATCAAGTATCCTAATATGCTCCATGGACTCATTCTGAATAACTCCCATACGCCGCGCTAATGCCAGCTCCTGATGGTGCTGGTGCGAAGACTCACTTTCCCTTCGAGCCTCCCCCATCAGCTTCTCCTTAAGCAATGATACTGCCGTCATCAGTTTCTCATTTTGTTCCTTCACTACGCCCAAATCATTTTGAAGTGCTTGATTAAGGGCAGCTAAGTGTTCGGAACGCTCGACCTCTGCATGCTGATGATCAACCTCCAGTCGTAAGCTTTCTAAATGCTTCTTCCAGTCTTCCACATCAAGCTGGAGTCGATTGGACAATACCTTCTCTTGATTAAGGGCTTCTTTAGCGCTACGGAGCTCTTGTTCCAAATAAACTATATTAGAACGTAGCTCATGAACAAGTGTGGAGTCGGACGTGACTGTAGACAGCTGAGTTGCTAATCGTATTGTGCCCTCTTGTTCAACCTGATATGCCTGGAGTTTGTGAAGCGCTATGTCAGCTTTGTTGTGAAGTTCTTTTTCTCGCTGTAGTTCGCTTGTCAATGCCGCTTCACGCTGTCGCAAGCTTTCAATCATAGCTCCTTGATTATTAATGATCCCGGTTAAAATATCCGTGCCCTTAATGGCACTAGAGGTGAGCTGATGGGCTGTCGATGCATCGAATGAAGGCGCTGCAGGTGGTTGGACAGAAGATTGAGATTTAGGGACTCTATCGCCGGTGGTCCCATCCGCACACAGGGTCGAATTAGAACTTTTGAATCCTGCACTGTTCATTGTCTGCGCGATATTTTGGAGGTCTTGGTTTTGCTGGTTGAGCTGTGACTCCAGAACTACATTCGCAGCGTGAGCGTCCTGAAGCTCCCGCTTCAAACGAATATTGTCACTAGTTAAGCCACGCAGCTGCTCAAAGAGGGAGTCATTAGCACCCTGAAATTCAGACCGCAATTGCTGACTCTCACTACTGAATTCAGCTTTGTCATGTATCGCATTCTTGAAGCGCTCGATCATGGCCTCGTTTTCGGAGAACATTCGCTCATGAAATCGTTCTAATCGGTTTGCTTCCTCAAGCTGCTGTTCAGCATATTTCTGTCTTTCCGCATGAAGTTGCTCCTGAAGCTGGTAAATTTCCTTATCTTTCCTTTGCACCATATCGCGCAAGCAATGGCAATTTCGCTCTGCCGCTTTCCGTGCTACGTCCAACTGCACTTCATGTGCCTTTCTCAGTCGTGCTTCCCTTTCCTCCGACCTGATACGTTCGCTTTCAATCTGGCCCTGATACAGAGCTGTCTTATTCTCTAAATGCTTTGTGTGGTCTTGTAAGTCATGTAAGCTCGAGGAAAGCGACTGTATTTCACGAGACTTTGCTTCAAGTTCCTCCCTTAGGCCTGCGCATTCGCGAGCTAGTTCCTTTTGCTTCAGGATTGCTGTTTTGTATTCTCGTATCGCAATGTCATCATTATCCACACCAAAGTGAGCTTTACAAATTTCAGAAGCCCCACCATGAGGCAATACCGCTTCTATTGGTTGAATTGCCAAAGGTGGTGTCTCTGTTTTGGCAAATACTGTGTCTCGTAGATGAAGCAACTTTTCATAAGAACCCTCCTCGAAAGGCACCATGCCCCAACAGCGGGACTCCAGCCGCGTGATTTCCTCAGAAAGATCCTTAGCATAGGCTTCCACTCGCTGGGCCTTAGCTTCACTAAACTTGAGATTTTCTTCACATTCAGTAAACTGATACATAGCTCTACGAATGGTTGCTCGAGCCTCCAGGAACTGATGCTCAATAGTTTCACTTCGCCCAGGCTCCTTTTCCATCCTGAGAAACGAAATTTGTTCCTCCAGTGTCTTAATATCGTTCATCTTGTCAGATAGTTTGGTGGACAGAGATTTATTTTTCTCACAGACGGTGTTTAAATCATTCAGGATTAGCCGAAAGCGTTTGTCCATGATCTCGGCCCGGTGTGGTGATAGTGATCCTTTATAGGCACGCTGTAGACAGCGTATATAGTCCACCACAGCAACGATTTCATCTATGTAACTGCGGTACAAACGATGTGCACTAAGCTTGTATGAAGTGGCTTCATTGGCAACAACATGGTAATTAGCCTCGGTAGCTGTGAGCTGTATCTTCAATTTCTTTACCTGAATAAGAGCAAGCTCACTTTGACGACGTAAAGCGGCGTGCTCACGAACGGCAGCATTCACGAAGTCACTTACAACCTTTGTATTGCTTGCGTCTCTGATGAGAGCAACTTCCTGCCTACTTGCCTCTAGCTCGATCTCAAGGGACTTAAGGCTCGATTGCAAATCTAAAGAGTGCTGAAGAAGCCCAAGATTGACAGATTTGAGACGTGCCATATCGCGTTCGAGGCGGGACAATTTTTCGATCATTAGGGGTTCAGGTGTTGTAACTTGATGAATATGATCAGCATCACAAGGCACCTTTGGTGCTGTTTCCACCTTTTCCTTTTGCAAACCCTCATTCCCTTCTCGCCCATTTTGTAGTGCCAACGGCGACGTTGGAAACCCATGGTCGTCTGTTTGGAGAAGATTCCGTACGTTGTCCTTGACCTCTATCATTTCTTGACGTACTGTGTCAAGATCCTTTTCCAAAAGCGATACTTCTTCCGTTTTCGCCTCTAACCGCTTGTAGCATAGATCATACTTCTGCCGCCACATGATACACTCAGACTCCCATCTTGACGCGGCGGCGGCGTTGTATTTTTTATTATCGCACCTATCGTCAGTTGCCCTTTCACACTGCGCGCTAAGATCAGCGTTTCGCTGCACCTCAACCTCCAGCTTAAGCTGATCTAGCTCACTCTGGAGGGCATCAATAACCCTCGTGCTTTCGCGATTTTTTTCACGGAGCATATAGATCTCACTGGTGATTTCAATATTATTATATACTTGCTGAAGGTGGAGGAGGTAACGACTATCCTCACGGAAGAGCTTTCCTTGCAGAAGGGTTCTGAGGGACGTATGCAGCATATCTAGCTGTTTTTTTTCGTGGTCGTGAAAGGCAGAAGAAGGTGGCAGGACAAAACCAGTGGAGGATCCTTCAAGTGCTTCTTGCAAGCCTTTAAAAGTCGTGTCTATAGTGGCTTGCATACGCTTTTCCGCTGCCGCTGCATCCTCTTGTGCTGCAATAGCCTTTCGGAGGCGACTCAAGAGTTTCGCTTCACGGCGACGCAGAAGCACAACTTTCTGAAGAAGCTCTTTGCTGCCACCATTCTCAATCTGGTGCATGGCGCTAGTGATTTCTGAATTAATTTTCTTGAACTCAATGTTTTTTTCATTCAATTCTTCGTTCATTACCTGCAATGCGGCAATTTGGTCGTTTAAGCTTTCTTGAATTCGTAGATTAGACTGGTTGAGCTGCTTTTCAGTCTCGATTTCTCTTTGATTATCCTCAAGCTTCCCTTCCACCTGACTTAGTTTGTGATTAAGAGCTTCGATGAGGTCGTCCTTCATTTTTAGCTGATCGCGCAACGATAATGCAACAGTGGCCCATTGCGTGTCGTCTCCATGTGCTGCAACGACTTTTTGCACATTTTGCCAATCCCTTCCGTTCACATCAGGAGAGTTATTAATAGTAGATTTGTTCACTGCATCAGGAAGCAAACCAAGAGACGCGAACATACAGCCCTTGTACTGATCACGTTCTTTGATTAAGGCTTCTTTCTCATCTACTGCAGCTGCCAGCTTTTCACGAAGTGCTTGGATCACATTTTCGTTATCTTTTATGGTAAGCTCAAATTCGCCAACCTGACGCTTCGTGCTCTCCAATTCTGCTTTTAAGGAGAAAATGGAGGAGGACTGGTTTGGATCCTCAACACTCACAAGTTTCAATGCTTCAACGGATTTTCTCAAGCTGGATACCACAGATTCTAAGCTAGTTCCATCACCGAGATCTGAGAAGACATGTTTAATAGCACTTTCGATTTGGGCCATGACATATTCATTAAGCTCTTGGGCATCCGTGTGTCGAGCTTCGGATTCCTTGGAGAATTCTTCATTACCAGACAGATCACCAATCTTAACAAACGATTTCGTAGATTTCATTTGATCAACTAAGGCATCTAACTGTTTAAGTTGTTCAGCTGTAAGACCAAGCTCCAAGCGTAGCTTAGTATCCATGAGAGGCTGGAGACGTACCTTATTCATCCAGTGCCTCCTATCTTTCTCTAACCATTCAACCTCTTCTTTTAGGACATTTATTTCCTCCCTTAAGGTAGCCATCTCGTCATAACCCTTAGCGTTTTTCGAGCGAAGGCTCTTAATCTCCGAATCGGTCACGCCAACTTTTTTGCATAGCTCTTCCAATGCAGCCGTAAAAGTTAGCGAATCCTCCGCATAATTAAGCCGTTCGCGGAGTTGAGTATTTTCGTCTTCAAGTATTTCCACGCGACGCATGCGGTCAGACAACTCATGACGCAGATGTAGTAAACCTTCGTTTCCACGTTCATAATCTTTAATAAGAGTTGTCAAACTCTTATTTTCGTCTTCCATGGCATCGATGCGTAGCTCGAGCTCCTCGACCTCGGCGGCGAGATCCGCATTTTCACGTTCGAGACGTCGTCGCTCAGACTTTTCAGAAGATGAATCTCTAAGATTATACGAGTCCTCATTTTCAGAGGTTGTGAGAACAGTGACATCATCAAAATGTTTGTTTCGTTTAGACGAAATCTTGTTGAGTTGTTCATGCAATAGGGCAATCTCCTCGTCCTTAACACGAAGATCCTCACCATGCTGGTGAATTAAATGTTCCATGTTTGTGTCATGTTCCTTTTTCAAAGCCATATAGTAGTCAGTTGCCTCACGCAACTTGCTCCTTTCTTCATCAATGAGATCCTTTGTTAGACGTCGGAGCTTAGTCATATCCCGAAGGGCTTCTGATTCCCTTTGTTCATAAAGCTCCTCGGCTCGGTCGCGTGATTCAATTAAGTTATAATTTTCCTGCTGTAATATCTTTATTTCTTCTCGTAACCTTTCCGATTCGGTGTCCTTATTTCGGCCTCCTTGTGTATCATCTGCTCTATATCTCTCAAGAGTTTGCTGATTCCTCTCGAACTTTTCCAAAAGCCTACGATAGCGAGAAACAAGATGCTTATACTCTAAATGCATCTTGGCATTATCCTGCTTCAATGATGTGTTTTCACTTTGTTGTGCTTGCAATGACTGGCGCAACTCTTCATTTGCGTGCTTGAAATTGTCAAGCTCTAATAATAAGGCGGTGTTTTTGTCCTTCAAACGAGTCAGTTCATTATGAAGTCCAAATTCACCAGATTTGCTAGCATTTTCCTTAGAGGTAGGAAGATTCTTGAAATCACCCAAATTCGACTTCTGGACCGTTCCACGCAAAAATACTAACTCGGTATGTTGTTTCTCTATTTCAGACTTAAGGCGTTTCTCCATATCGAACTTCTCATTGTTGATTCGCGCAACCTCTTCCTGAAGGCAATCTATCTGTCTTAGGGATTTCGATGAGACCGTCAAAAGTAATGCACCCAACTTTACAGTGTACTGAGGATCGGCCATATGCTCATCATGAGCTTCGAATCGGTATTTAGATATCAAACGCATGACTTTTTCAATGTATATGAATTCGTTTGTCTTAGATAGAAGATCGAATGGCATCCGAGCAATTTGATCCCACATCTCAGAGTTTGTTTCATTGGTGATATTATCTGAGTTTGTAGATGAGAGCACGGAATTCGTGCTCTCAGACATTACGCAAACCTATCTTATTTATGATTCTTCACTTTGTAAAGTAGTAGGTTTGCAAAATATTATAAGGAAATATATTTCAATCGAAAAAAAGTAGACGAATAATTGCATGTTAAAAATATTTCACTTTCGTAAAGATTTATTCAGCTATAATACATATAATCCTTTTTCCATGTTATCAGGAAAAAAGATGAAGTATTTTTGTTTATAAAAAGCACCATTCAAACAACAACCAAAAAAATGTGAATTTTATGCTTGATAGAACATTCATTGTCGATCATTTTGTGTACAAATCGATCACGAGAACCCACATACGCTGGAGGAAAAAACGTACTTAAATTACAACTATAACAAATAAACTTACTTCACCAACACAACACAATTTTTTTTGATGGTGATCACTATTTTGCTTATTGTTTATCATGTTAAAAATTACCCGAGATATGTGTTGCCCTTTTTGAAAATATATATAAAATACTGGCCATCTAGAATAAATATCATTTTAGCAACAGTACATTTCGTAATAATGTAAGTTATTTAATCAAAACTTCGTTTTAGAATAGCAAAGACAAGTAGCAAAACTTCTTCTCTTGAAAACTCAAGGTATACTCCTGATTCGCCCGTTTGGTAAGGCAGCCAATGAAGGAGAGGGTAAATAGACTCACCAACGTCATAATACTGCCTTTACGTACACATCCTTTTTTAAAAAAAAATATGCTCAAAAAAATTCGACGTGCTATTTTCTATCTTTTCTCAGCGAAAATGAGAACAATGACAAAAAAGGGGTTTGATAAAATCTGGTGAAAAGGAGCTCTAGTGGCTTCTCATAAATATCAGCTTGTCGAAGCAACTGTTTTATGAAGAGGTATGATGTTAACAATGTCGAATAGTCCTCTATTTTCCCTTTTAATGAATTATATACAGACAAATGTATATATAAAATGCATTGAACAGGTCTCAGTTGTTCTTTTAAGAGTATGAAATTAAATTAAACAGTGACACGTGATAAAGATACAATGATTTCATCTAGATATAGCATCGCAACAGAGAATATCGCGATTGATCCTAACATGTGTGCCAGGTTCCCAAAGATTTGTGTTCAATCGGTATACATTAATAAAATCACCAATGTCAGTTTGAATTTGAGAGCGCACAAGTAAACTGCAATTCGACAAGAAATTCGGTACACTCATACCACTATCGCACAAATCTTGGATGACCTTACTTAAAGCATAAACCGTACAATCAGGTCTTTCACCACCTTCATAGTCATCAACAAGAATACCATTTTCCTGGTAACCACGAATACAATCTGGTGTGTTTTCAATTATGAGCACTTTATCTAAAGGTCGGTTTAGAGCTGAAAGGTCCTTTCGATAGCCAGGTTGCCCAGTAAACCATTTATTATGACGATAGATACAGTGTGTAACTGCGTTTTCCTTGTCAATGTTATCGACAATTGCCTGAGCATACGCTTTCAAACCTGCAGTCCACACAATGACCTCTACTGTTCTCTCCTTACAAATTTTAAAGAACTCATCTAGACCAGGCCGAGCGAACAAAGGACCACTCCGGGCAAAAACAAGTGTTTCATCCAAGTCAAGTACTAACACAAGCTTACCATCAAATTTTGCGTTTTGATCAGGAATTACAAAACGATTATCCGCCTTGCTCATCGAAGGGTCTCGCCTTCTGTTGACCCGTCGACGACCTCCCCCCTGATACTCCTGTTTGAAAGATTCTCCTCGAATTCGTTGGCGTGGAGCTTCAGAAGAGTTCATGTTTCGCGGATATATCTGTTTATATAAGATGTAAAATTTAACACGAACCTAAAAATCACTAGATTTTTTTCTCTACAATAAAAGGGGGGAAATGATATAAGAGTATGTGATTATTAAAGGAAAAGATAATAACATATATAGGTTAAAGGTTTATATATAAATATATATATTGTATATATAGTGTGTATGTGTATACACATATAAATATATTGTAGATGCTACTTTGCTTATGATTTTTTTTTAGAAATCAAGGGGTTTTAGAATACGGAAACCAAATTCACAAAAAAAGGAATTAAAAAGCCATACTAATCAGTAAACATTTATTGAGGATATCCCAAACCAGAAAAACACTTGATGTTGTAAAAAATAGTACATTTTTGCTGTAGTTGGAATGTCACTCAATGAAATATTTCACAAATCCCATTTCCTTGACGTCAAGAATTAAAAACCACCCATTAATCATAACACAAACCTCCAAATCCAAAAAATTTAAAAAACGAAATCACCTCTACTTTCGCGTCGATGATACAAACGTCGTCACACTAACTAAGCTGGAGCAAGAAATGAAAAAAAAACTTTTTTTACATAAAACCTCGCATAATAACGACACCAGATCATTAAAAACGCTTGCCCACGACTCTTGAAAAAGCTGGGCGCCCAAGTTCGCCATTAGGATTTAGCACCCCATACGGTGTAGGACTGGGGGGCATGGCCTTTTTTTTCTTACAGATTTGAATGAGGGGGATAGCTGCCCCAGCCGGTCCAGCGTCGAATCCTTACGTGGAGGCTTCTCAGATGCGCCCATTCGACGTATACCCAACGTGGGCTTCCAGTGGTGGGGTTGTCCCACGCCAGTTCCCCACACGGCGATATTACTCTCCAGGCGGGTTCGTGTTTGAGATTCCCCCCACAAATCCCATCGAGACATCGTCGTAACGAGAATATTGGAACGTTTAGCCAGCGATTTGAAGGCTTTCATAAATTGTAGAATCGTTTTGAATTTATTTAGCATCCCGGACTCCTTACATTTAGAAATTTGATTGATTTATACATTGAATAAATGTACTTTTTTTTCCAGCTGCGTCGGTTGCCTTCTATCACTCCCCCCCCCCCCCCGCGACTCAACGAGGAAACACCTGCTCAAGGCCCTTTTGTTAAGGATGGTTTCCCGTGTTAGGATTTCATAATTATTTTCAGTAACAAGGGAAACGTGTGCTCTACTTTAAATGTTTATTCAGAATGATAATGGTGTGACTTATGTGTGGTCAGATGATTCTTTGTGTAGCATACTGTTTTGCTAATATGTTTATTGTGCAATACATGTCCTATTCTTGATTCTTAAATTTTACATTTTATTTTTTCTTCCTTTCATATGTATATATTTTTTAAAGGATTTGCTTAAACGTACAGCCGCAATTATGACTGAAAAGCAAGATGTTCTTCTTGCTGTTTTAAAAGAACGAATTGCTCAGCTTGAGACAGAGCTTGAAAATTCCAATGAGCGTCTTTTGGCAACCTTAGAAGAAAAAGACGAACTTGTAAAGGAAATGGAAGACTTACGTTCAGAAGCACATGAAGTTGTTGGTCAGTGGGAAAAAGAGGCAGCAGACCTCCGTAATAGACTGGAGTCCCAGAATTTGAATATTTCAAACTACGTTGCGTTGATAAAAGAAAAAGATGATGCCAAAAAGGAACTGGAAATCAAGGCTCAAGCATTGGAAGAGCTATCTTCGACATACTCTCTATCCATTGTCACACTTCAACAGCAGCTCAGCGAAGCCAAGCAATCACAAAACTTCCTTCACGATGAATTAACCAAAACACGAGGTGAATGGGCTGAAGCGTCTCAACGTCTTAAGGAGTATGAAAAAGTAACTGCGGATTTGGAGAGCGAGGTGAAGGAATTGCATAACTCCAGGAAGGCTTCGTCTCAAGATCTCCAAGGACTGCATACGTTATTATCTGATACGATCAAGGAGAATGCCTCACTCAAAGCTGATAACAATCAAATGAGTCTACAAATCCAAAAGCTTATGAATGATATTGAGGAATTAAAAAAAGAGAATGAGCGAGTTCACCAGGAATTCGATATGTCAAAGCAACGCTACACTGAGCTACAAACTGAGCTTAGAAGTGCCAAATTTTTATTGGAGAAGCAGGAAAATCACCTCTCAAATCTTGGCTCCGAAAATGCCGCACTTGAATTATTAAATGAGGACCTAGTGAAGAAAATGAATGATGCACTCAAAAGAGCTGAATCCTCCGAAGCTGTTTCGCAACAACAGCTTGAAATAATATCTGGGTACGAAAAAGATATAGACGAGTTCAAAGATTCTTGTATTGCTCGCTGTAACATTATTGAGGAACTACGGCACAAAACGGCAAGATTGGAGGAAGAACTAGCTTGTACAATAGGATCTAGAAAAGATCTCGAGACTCAACTTGCAACTTCAAGGAAATCTTATTCGGCACTACTTACGGAGTCAAATGAAGCTAAACTCCAATTTGAAGGTAAAATCAGTGAACTAAAGAAAGAAATAGATCATGTCAAAAAGGAATCGTCTGAAAGAATTATCCTAGTGGAAGGCAAATTTAACTCTGCTCTTCATTCCATAGAAGAGCTAATTGCCTCCCTTCACACTGCTCAAGCGCGTGAGTTTTTGATTTTAGAACAAGAGCAGCGCTGCAGAGTTGAACTTCATACCCAAGTTCAGTTACAGCAGTTGAAGGATGAGTTTTTAAAGGTTCACCTATCCGAGATTTGTGATCTGAAGAAGCAAAACGATAAAACAAGGGTTGATCTATCGCGTATGTATGCAGAGAAGGAGCAATCACTAAATACCACGAATTCATTGAAAGAGCAATTGTCAGCAGCAGATAATGCGTTGTACGAGCAACACAAGATTTGTGCGAGTCTTGAACAAGAATTGAGTAATTCAAACGCCATGGTGAAGGCTTCACAGATGAAGAATAGTGCACTTGAGGAGGATAATCTATGGCTCAAGAATCAAGTTGAGGCTATGCGCCGAGAGTTGGGGAGCTTGGACGAACTGCTCAATACAAGCCTGAACGAAATGCGGGAGCAAAATGAGAGGCTTCAAATGGAAAATCGAATTATACAGGACTCTCTTAAAAGAGTAAAAGAAGAGCGTGCGCGTGCTGAAGAGAGAACTGGGAATCTAAGCAAAGAGTTGAATGCCCTCAGAGAGGAACTTGCTGCACAAACAAGGACTTTGAATATAACGGAAGTGTCATTGAAATCTTCAAATTATCAAATTGAAAGTCTGAATAGCACACTAGCTGAAATGAAATCGCGTTTGGAATCCCAAAAGGGGGCGGAGAATGACTTACTGAACACAAACAGGGCGTTGTTATCTAAAGTCAATTCCTTAAAGGAACAATTGACTGCTGCAGAGGCGAGCCAAAACTCAATTATAGATGAAAAGCAAAGTGAAATTGTTAGGCTAAAGACCAAAATTAATGAGCTTGTTCTACGGTGCCAGAATTACGAATCCAATCTTGCAGAGGAGCGGAAAAGGCATCTTGAAACGAGTGCATCCTTTAATAATCTGAAGGAGAATGTTGGACGAATGAGGAATAGATTTGACGAATTAAAAGAAAGATGTGGGAGCGATGCAGATTCTATTAAGCAACTTTTAGCAGAAAGGGACGATTTACTTAAGGAAAAGGACACTATTGTTGAGAAATATAACAATTTACACGAAGCTTTTGTGAAACTCCGAAAGGAATCAGCCATCAAAATGTCTGAAGAGCTGGAGAGACTGATTGGGCTTGCAGCAACACAGGAGAAGGAACTCCAATTGCTACGAAGTCAAAACATTATTCTAAAGAAAAGCATTTCTATGTTTGTGAAGTCGTCTCCTAAATCGGAAACTATACTTATAGAAAAATTAAATTTGTCTGAGGGTCCTTTACGGCATCCCAAGAAATTATCCGTTCCAAAGGATACAAAGTAAAGGTATGAGCTATTCTTCATCTGGTGCTTTATGCCTTTAGTTCATCCATAAAATGATTTATAAAGTCGACTGAGTATAAATGTATATGCATCTATTACATGCGCCAAATGCACATTTTGAGCCTTACAAGGGTTCTTATTAGATTATTTTACCTACTAGATTTAGATAATGATATTAAGGCTAAATATGCATCTAGAGTTGTACTTTTTCTAACTATGCGCTCAAGAAACATGTAATTATAAGATAAATAATTGACTAATTCTTGTTACTTTCCGTTAAGATCCTTCCCACCTCCCTGTCTATTGCTTTTTTGATGCAAATAAACATTCACAGAGAAGCCGATGTCTTATAATAAGCGTTGTTATTGTTTTTCTTATTACATTGAACTAGATCAACATAGTACATGATTTCACTTTTAAATAGCATGACCGAGAGCGGAATAGTTTAGAGAGGGACAGTTGAATCGATGGATATAAGCTGCGATCAGGAATGATGGTGAATAACACTTCTGAATACTTGATTATGAAGCTAAGGAAAGCTTCACGACTCACAAATTCCATGAATGTAAGGATATTTCACACGGAAAGGAGAACATTCATTGGAGGCTTAAATGGACACATTTTCACATAGGAAATTTCTCTACATACTAATTACATTCTGTTAGAGATTAATTTTGGGGAGTACACAGAATTAGTAACCAATCATCATAATTGCTGAAGTTTATCTACACTCGTTTACGCAGGTTTTAGTTCGGTTAGGTAAAAGGTAAAATCATCATGTTGATACCCACACCGCGGATAGCGTTTTAATAGACATTCTGATTATTGTTGCCCCATTCTATACTAAAACTAGTGTACATTATTATTTCATTAATTACTTCTGAACAAGGTGAATTAATGTCAATTGCGAGACCCCATTAAGTGTTCCGAAATTTCAATACATGAAATTCGTTTTCGGACATGATGACTTACTTGACACGTCAAAAAAATTAACATATGTGTTATCGTATCTATACCTTTTTCTTCATTTACTTCGTTATTTTCCGAAATATATTAAATTGATGAGACGTAATGTCATATCGGAAGAAAAGTGTACCTGCGAAGGAACTTAATCTTTTACAGAGATTATCCAAGTTACAAAATACAAATGCCAATAATGCTCCTTTTCAAGCACACAATGCGTTGGCCCTTTTAAGACAAATGAAACTTTCACAGAGAGCAACTTTCGATCAGTTTGTCAAGCAGGCAACAGTGCTCAATTTTTACGCTGCGCATGCCGTTCGTGACGCCGTAAAGGAAAATAGCCCATTTTATACCTTGCCTCTCCCACAATACTTTATTAGCTCTGATGATTCGCCTAACGATTTTGAACCTCGCAAATTCTACCATAGCAGCTCTGTTACGATTTCAGATAAAAAGGCTAAATCTGGGGTATACTTGCCGCGTTGTGGCCTTACTGGACTATTTTTTAACCGAGAGGAGGTGATTGATAATTTGCAAGCTGCTGCATCAGACTTAGGTTTCAGTTCCCCTTTTTGGATTCGCAGTGATCATCCAGCACTTCGTTCTGGATTTCTGACCGTCAAAGATGATAGCGAGGTGATTTGCATTAGTTTAACAGCAGAGATCACTCCTGTGGAGAATGTAGTACCGTTTAGTGAGAACTTGCTGCATTCAAGCCTTCGGAATGGAGCGGAGTTTTTGAGGCCTTCCGCTTCCATTCCAAGAGGTATGAATTCTATAACAGGTTTTGTATCCAGAAACCCTTTTATATGCTCGCTTCCTCATCGAGGTCTTTGGTTATCACGTGATCAACTCTTGCAACACGGGATATCTCTTAGGTCATCAAAGGATGCTACTTCCGATGATGAGGCCTTTACGCTTGTCGAAACTGAGCAATGGGAGCTCTATAATGCGGACCAGCTCACAGTACCTGGAAGGCTGGGATTAAAAAGATGCGTTCCACATGATGAAGTTGTGGGAGGCCTATTCCAGCCGTTTTAAGATGAAACCCTTTTTCTGTTTTTTTTTATTTGTACACTGACTATCAGCTGCGTTCTAAGATTAACATACTGCCCATTTTTATTCCTTTCATAGATGCTTTACAAAGATTCAGTGGCATGATTTATAATATTTTTTTTATTTTATTAGACACTCAGAAACTAAAGTGTTAACTATAGTGAGCTAAGTCCTTCTGGTTCTTGGCAAGCTCAATATGTTACAGCATATGGGTGTATGTGCTTTAATCCTTCTTGGTTATTTCATCAGCATCATACTCAATCTTTCAGCTTCTTATTGTCTTTTCTTTAAGAAGCCTTTGCTTCATATATTTTCCAAAATAGCGAAAGTATAATCACTTTATGTCTGCTTTAGCAACTGGGGCGATCGCTTACCTTGCGAATTTCGTTGTTGTATTTGGGCTGTATCCTTACCGAGATTACGTCAAAGGCTTTGATGTGACACGGAGGTCAGTAAATAATTTACCCCAATTTTGCATGAACCGCTACCGAGGCATGCTGAACAATCTATCTCAACCCCTGCTTCTAGCAGCCCCACAAGGATTTCTGTACTTTGGTTACGTTCTGGGATTTGGCGGATTCACCGGAGCTATCCTAGGTGGAATCTTTGCGGGATACACAAAGGTTTTTGTCGGCACGGTAGCGCGCCGCATGAGTGTCGGAAGCAGATATAATCGTATGGATTGTCTTTCCTATTCCTCCGTCCTGGATTGCATTATTTCAAGTTACAGACACTACGGGGCTTTATCTTTTTTTATGGGTGGCCTCGCGACATCCTTGATAGCAGTGCTTTGGCATGGAGTGTCTTTAGCTGTTCTGAATCAAACTTACAGTAAGGGAATACTAGAAAGCACTTGGGATGCGTTTCGTATTCATGCTCTCATGACGTTTCTGTCCAATCCCATTCGAAATATGTTCCGATCCTCCTTGGTGCAATGCGAGCGCTCGGGCGGTGTACGGAGCATTCGCGGTTATGCCACTGGTGAGGTTGCTATTTTCAAGGAAGCAGGTGCTGTTTTTCTTACGATGTGGCGCACGGAAGGCGTGCCCTTTTTCCTTCATGGGGTTCTCCGCACGACATTCAAGACTTCGGTACCTTTTGCCATTGCATACGGTCTCTTTAGGTCTATGGGCGGTTCCATCGGGCTACCTAATCATGGTAGTAGTAGTGGTAGTGGTCACATCGGAGGTCGTCGCTTCTTGCGCCGCTACTAAAGCTTGCATTACGTGGATCGTCTGAAATAGTTCATGTTGAATAGTTTAAATGGTAGCTGTAGAATATGCTAAATTATTCCCTTAAGCCATGTGGACTCTGTGATCGACGCATTTTTTTTCTGATTTTTGGAGCCTTTTTTGTAATTCATGTCACAATAAAGGTATCCTTGGTTTGCCTATATTACATGCTGCTCCGGTGTTTATTGCTTTGCTTCTGTGCTTCGCTTCTGTGCTTTGTGTCATTTCTTTGGGAACTGGTTGTAGTTCTGAACTTTAGCCTCACGCTTTCACCTCTGTATTTTTCTAGTTTTATGTTGTTGCAGCACCCCCTATTCGATCACATTTATTCAAATTTTAATCATACCTATTCATTCAATAAATGTTTCCAATTTGCTTGTGTGGTTAAATAGAGATATTTTGAATACAAACTACAATGAACATCGAATGATGCAATACAATCCTTGTCATTTTTATTTTTCTTTATCGTATAACTTGACTAAAGCCAAGCCGTGTATCATGATACTTAATATGTTTGGTTTCGCCATCTTTATCGCAGGTAACCGTGATGAACGTATATTACCCTTTATCTTGCATCGTTTTTTCATTTTCAAAGATTATTTCGATAGCATCATCCCAGTTGCGACTCGAAAAGTGTGAGAAAAACAAATGGGACTGCTGTCAATTATAAAAAAGACTAAGCGAAAGGAGCGCGAAATGCGTATCTTAATGCTTGGTTTAGACAATGCCGGCAAGACTACTTGTGTCAAGAAATTTTGTGGAAAGGATACAAATTCCATCAGTCCTACTTTGGGTTTCCAAATCACCGCTTTCACATTCAAGGGTTACACTCTCAATGTCTGGGATGTCGGTGGCCAGCAATCTCTGCGCAGTTACTGGCGTAATTACTTTGAAAGCACAGACGGACTCGTGTGGGTTGTTGATAGCAATGATACGGAAAAGCTTGAAGTATGCAGGCAGGAGCTACATAAACTTTTGTTAGAGGAACGCTTAGCAGGTGCGAGTTTATTGATTTTTTTGAACAAACAGGACATTCCAACGGCTATGTCACCAGCTAAAATCCAATGTATTCTTGAGGTAGAGAGAATTTGTAAGGGTCGTCGACACGTTCACTTGTGTTCATGTAGTGCTAAGACTGGTGAGGGCTTATTGGAGGGAATGGACTGGATTGTGCAGGATGTTGCAAATCGAATGTACTTCTCCAGCTAAATACGCATGAGTACATATCTAACCATATTTCTATTAGTAAAGAAAACGCTCAGTACATGTTCCTCTTCTGATTTCTCATACCACTGCGAGTACTCCACGTGGCTCACTTTTTCAATCGGTCTTACTCCTCTTTTTATTAGAAAAAGAAACGATTGCCCCCGCCCCCCAAAGATGATAAATAAAAATTTGTAGCCTTCTCTATATCCATATAAAAAAGTGCAATTGAAACAATGCTGTGGTGGCTTATAGCTGTAAGCGTCATCGTGGTGCTTTTAGTGTTATCCTTAAGCGTTTACATTGTCTATATGCTATCCGCAGAAGAGGAAAAGGATAATTCTCTGTTGTGTAAATGCATAATTATTCTATCCGTTTCACTGTCATTCTATAATGTGCTCCTATTACCATTTCAGGCTGCCTTTTCGAAGGAGTATCCAGGTATCGATGTGTCTTGGGTGTGGGAAGTTGTGGTTGCAGCTTCTGCTTTGCTAGCATTTGTTATAATACCTTTTGCCTTGATTCACTATGAAACCTGGGATCCTAACAATCCCACCTCATCGACACATCAGCTCAAGATGGCTATTATGGGCACAATATCGGTTGTTGTATTTCTTTCTGGCTTGTTTGGTATTCTTTGGGCTGTAGAGGGTTCTGTAATGAGCACTGCTGGAGCCAGGGATGGGACAGATGATAAAGGGGGCACTCCAACATCAGATGTGCCATGTGGCTCATTCTTTTCCTTCTTGGTTGCCCTCAATACCTCAGTTGGTTGGTTCTTTTTTGCCTTCTTTGGAGGTGTTGGCTTGATAGGGGCCCCCTTTCATAGCTTACAAACGTTTTTGAAGCGACCACGCCGCATCTCTATCGGGGAGTATGAGACTAGTCGTATTAAAATGTGTCTTGAATCGGCGAACTTGTTGGAGGTAGGCCGAAAACTCGAGTATGAATCAAGAGGACATGGATGGCTGCACCTACAGAACCGACGCCGCTTATTGATTTTCAAGCGACGTGTTCATGAGCTAGAACGCGAGTTTCGGTATATAGAGCAGTGCTTTAGGATTCAGCGTGTTTCCGTTTTAAAGCAGTATGTACTGCTATCTGCGTCCTGTTTCGCCTGCATTCTAAGCATAGCGTGGCTGCTGCACATCATCTCTTATGACTTAGGGTACACTCATTCGTATCTCAACGATATATTCGTGTTTTTAGACAAATTAATGCCAATGATAGGTATTCTTCTGTATGCTTCCATGACCTTCTACTTGATGTGGTGTGCACTCGTTGGATGCTGGACGGTTGGTGGTAACCTTGCCTTGTTCATAGTGTTTCCATTAGAAAAAAAAGCTACTATGCTCAATGCGCTGATGCTAAATACAGTGTTGTTACTGCTGGCTTCCATGGCTGTGGTACATTTATGTGTTGCAAGTTTAGATTCTTATGCTATTGACACGAGTATGAAACAGGTCTTTCACCAAGATGTGGCTCGATTATGGGGTGTTAGAGAGGTCCTTGCGTATTCACCGTATGCCTTAGTCGCTGTGGCGACGGTTACACTTTTTTGGCTTTTAATTTTCTCCAAGCACAAGGTGAATGACTTTGAGAATGACGAGGGGGTTCTCTTATAGTTCTTTTCCCCACTCAAATCAATCAAATTCACTATTATATCGTTATTTGCTTTTCTTTCGGATTTGCCTTATGCAGTTCATATGTGCTCTTTTAGCATCTTTCAATAAAGTCCTGATATATCTATATATATCTATACATATCGATATATATGTACGCATTTCTGTTAGTGTTCCTATGTTAGATGGGCTATCATTCTATTTTAAATAAAAAAATATTCTACTTACGCTCTTATTCGTGTTAACCCCTTTAGAAATCTAAATATCAGAGTAAAATTCTTTGGAAGGTAAATTGAAATGGATTTCTTACATTACGTTCAGGGAATAGTCATTCTGGACCAAGCAGGGAAGCGCATTTTCGCAAAGTATTACACTAAAGGGGACGTGTCCGAGCCCTCAAAGAGTCTTGACGCAATTGAAAAACAACGGCAACTTGAATGTGCTGCCTTTCAAACTATTAAAGATAGTAGGTGCAACTTGAGTCTTTCGAGTGATGAAGACATTATGATTATAGATCAGTATACCATCTTGTTTCAGCAAGGTGATGATGTAGTATTTATGGTAGTCGGTCACAAAGAGGAGAACGAGTTGGTACTGAATACTGTACTCAGGACGCTTATAGATGCACTCAAGCAGGTGCTCAACACTCCTCAACTTTACACTCGTCTGCTTCTGGAGAATTACAATGGGATTGTCTTAACCGTCGATGAAATGATTGATGGGGGAATTATTTTAGAAACTGACCCCACAAATATCGCGTCGGAGGTGGTGCTGCACTCCCGAAAAGCTGGAAGCGATGTGGCCTATAAGGCAATCAGCACCGTCAACCGCTACCTACGCGATAATATGTGAGCCTGAATAGATGGAGTATTGACAACAGGTACTTATTGAGGGTAATTTTGCAGGCAAAGCGAATATGGAAAGTTATAATTTTTTAGATTTCACTAACTTATACCGTGGGGATGAGCTGTGTTTAGGATTGATTGTTTTCTTCTTGGATATTCTAAATACTTCACAGAGCTTGTCTGTGATGAACCTTTTTTTCCGTGTTCGACTAAATCAGAATCTGAGATGCTTGCTCAATTGATAATAATTCTAATGGTGTTATTATTACTACTATCTAATTCAACATTTAGCCTATCCATTGAAGGTTGTGTAGTCTAAATTATATACAATCTCTTCAGCTACAAGAAAGAATCACCGGCTTCACTGATTTGCTTCACATGCTGTGTAGTCCACGACATGGTGCCACTTAGGGGGAAAACCTAAAATATTGCTCAGGTGAGTATTTACAATGAAATAAGAATAATTAACTTTACTTTCGGGTAATTTAGTGTACTTTAGTATGCACATATTGTGGTTCGATTTTCGTACTGTACCTTTTCAGTAGAATGTATCATATATATCGCTTGCTACAGGACGTGGAGTTTTTTGTGTAGTGACTGGTGATGAACTTGGTCAGCAGGGGGGCGGACGACTTACCATTCATGTGTTTAATTATGTTGTTATCGTTCAATTGGCCTTCTCCTACTGAATTATTAAGGAAAAGAAACCATAAGCGCGGATGCCATCCTAGGAGAGTTAATTATATTATCACAATGCAATACAAAACCATTGACTGTGCCAATATTATCAATACCTTTTAGTAATTCAGGAATGATACGAAGCTTTTCTTTGTCAAAGACTGTATTTGAGCTATTTATTTGCGAAAAGCCGGGCTAGGGGCCGTTCGGTTGTTCTATTAACTCAATACATATATACATACATAAATAATATATATATATATATATGTTTTTGTATATTTTTTATTATGTCTTCCCATACAGAATTAATCATTCAGTCTCTTGCTTTTCTCACTTACTTTTGTTTGAGTCTTGTATATCAAAGGGCTTATTGCAAAAAAATATACACAACCATTTAACAGTTGAAACAAAACAGAAATGCCACCAAAGGCCCCTCCTGTTCCCGACTTCAATCGTATAGTGGCGGAGGTTCGTAGCCATCTTAATAAAGCTGGTGGATTAGGCAATTTGCTGGGTCTTTCTGCCATGTTTGGCTTATCCTGTGCCGCTGCCTATGGGTTATATCAGTCTGTGTATTTTGTGCAAGGTGGCTTTCGAGCTGTCAAGTTTAACTGCATTACTGGACTCCAGGATAGGACTTATGGCGAGGGGGCCAACTTTGTGATACCCTACATCGAGACCCCTGTTGTATTTGATATTCGTAACAAACCTCTTGAGGTACCAACTTCCAGTGGAAGCCGGGATTTACAGACCGTCAACATGGCTGTTCGTGTGCTGTACAAACCTAACGCGGATAATCTCCATCATCTCTATCGTCAAATAGGTGTTGAGTATGCTGAAACAGTGCTTCCATCGCTAATCAATGAAATTATTCGTGCGGTAATTGCCCAGTTCAACGCTTCCGATTTGCTGATTAAGCGTCCAGAGGTGAGCCACCGTATTGGCGTTATGCTTGCAGAACGCGCTCAACGCTTTAAAATTGATATTACTGATGTTTCCATTACTCAGATGAGCTTCGGAAAGGAGTACACTAACGCTGTTGAGGCAAAACAGGTCGCACAGCAGATGGCTGAGCGCGCCAAGTTCAAGGTGGAACAAGCTGAACAAGAGAAGCAGGCCGCCATTCTGCTTGCACAGGGCGAGGCGGAGTCTGCCCGCTTGATTGGCAGCGCACTAAAGAAAAATCCTGCCTTTATTGAGCTTCGTGGATTGGAGGCGGCCCGCACGATTGCAAAGACGCTGAAGGATTCCGGGCATGGTCGCTACTTCTTGGACAGTAATTCCCTCTACTTAAACTTAAGGGATTTGGTGAGTTCTCCTAACCGCTAAAGTTTTTTTCAGATGGAATGGGTAAGGTTGAGAAAAGCATACCACTTTTTTTTTGTAAACGCTTGTATCGTTTGATTTTTACCTCTTAATTACCGAATATATGACTAGTAACATTAGTGAGGCGCAAGTAGCTTGAACAGGTGGTGAGCAGTGTGTGTCAGGAAGTGCTTGAACAGAGTTAGAAAGGGAGGATTAATCCAGAAAATTAAACGCTCAAATAGGCTTAAATCATTGATCTATTTATTGCTGTCTATGTTTTTTCTGAGGCTCCTCTGTTGGTATGATCATCTATTTTTGTGCGTAAATAAATATATACATATCCACACGTATCGGTATTGATATCTGAAGCATTATTTTTACCTTCGCCTGAGTTTTATCTAGTGAAAAGTAAGACTCAGGAAAAGCAGTCAGCTTGACTTCAGTTTGTGGGGTTATTTCAATTTATGAATTTTTACATTTCTAAGTGATCACTTTTGTTTCCTCTACGCAGTTTTTATTTCACTTTTGATATTGCCATGCGCATATTTCTAAGTCCACTAATCCATTTTAGATTGAGTCGTTAAAAAAAAACGACTTATGATGAAAGATCAAGAGTTATTTCGTTTAATTGTTCGAGTACTGGAGGAGTATTTTAGTAACCGGAACTTTTCCACAACGACTGTAGAAGAAAAGGCATTAGAGTTACTTCGTCCATATGATGATCTATGCTCGCAGGAGGTGATCTTTGTGTTGGACTGTGTCTTAGGTGTGTGCCGCTTTGAAAAGATATGCGAAGGCGCATTCGAAGGCTACTGCGATGCTTACAAGCGCAACAAGAATGGGAGGCTATCAATCTATCTCATAACATATATATTGTTTTTCAAGTACGCTGATCTTGGAGGTGAAAAAGTTCGCATTCTTCTTCGTCAGCCAGCACTCGCAACGCGAATTGTGGAGTATATCCGGTATCTTTTTGATCTAAACGCAGTTCAAAAATATTCTTTTCCTAGGTGGCTCGAATATTATGACATTCTTTTTCTTCAGTCAAACGTTCTTGAGCCATTTACCTCTCGCAAATCTAACCTGGAGGCAGACGTCCTGGGGTGGATCGACACATCAACTACCGTACCACAAGGTGCGATTCACCAGCACGCCAGTGAAGGTTCTCAGGTCGATAATTCACGAGATTCGCAACCGCTAGTGAAAACGCCATTAAACATGGAAGAGGGAAAATCCAGTGTGTATGCTGATACCAAGCCTTTTAAAACCTCGACTACTTCAAATAGCGAACCACCGCGCAACTACGGATCGCATCAGCCACCGAAGTTTCAATCCGATAAATCAAGCACCACAAATATCACTCAGTTGATGCCACTACCAACTGTAGTAGCGCTACCCGCAAAGCAAGTGTTATTTTCTCAAAACTTATCAAAGACTTGCAGTAATGTCGTAGCGACTACTTTGCCGATAGTGAAGAAGAAGCTACCCACACGTCCAATTGGGTTTAGGTTTCTCAAACGATCTTTACATCCTTCTCCACATCTCCCAGATGCAGTAGATAAGAAGTCTGAATCCACCAAATCTGCGGCAAGAATATCTGAATTCTATGCTCGTGTAAAAGCCTCTGAACCTGCCATGATTTCAACTACAACTACTACTTTGAGGCGCGAGGCCTATGTTAACGAAAAGCAACAGCGCGAAGTGGAGAGATCTGTGATGGTGGGGGAAGAACCCTTAGACGATTCGGTAGACTATGAACTTTGGACGACACAGGAGTGTCGGCGAATCGCCCAAGAACAGAAGGCGACAATTCTGGAAAGACATTTAAAGGCGTTAGAATTTCATGAAAAGGTGAAACTCAAAAAGGCAAAGACAATAACAGAGAAGAGGGAGTGTTTTCGTTCCATGAAGAGGAAAGCCGCTGCAGATGCAAGTGAAAAAGAAAAGGAGGACCAGGCGGCTATGCACCGACATCAAGAGTTTGTTCGCACTTTCAAGACTCAACTTGCCACAAGCAAAAGCCAAGCCTTAGCGAAATGTAATTCCAACAAACGAAGGGCAGTTAATAAAATTAGAGAAGAGAACAGTCAAATTCGAGAGGCTGCACAGGAGGCTGAGGAAAAGAGACGGCTAGAACAATCCCAGATGATCCACGATATACGCCTTCTTCGGGAGCGTATCAAACAACGCCAGAAGGAACTGGCAAAACATAGGTGTGCCACTTGGGCCGGAGACAATGGGGAATCAACCGACAACGAAAACACCCCTAGAAGAGGGGGCTTCGCAGATGTTCAGGCGACTCTGGCTGAGGCCCGTGCACGGAAGAAGGAGATCGAGGAAAATTACCGGAAAGAAATAGCTGCAACTCACGAGCGTGAACGTGAGGAAAGGCAGATGCTGGAGCAAATGATCCAAGAACAACGCCAAAGGCGCTGCAAGCGACGGGAAAGAGCGCGCATGTTGGATGAGTGTAGGAAGCAAGCAGTTCAAGATGTGATAGCGGCTTCACACGCAGAGCGTGTGATAGATGTGTACGAGAAATTGCACTCCAAGCGTTTGGAACAGTTACAGAGTTGCAGGGAGCTTAAAGAGGAAGAACGAAGGCGTCTAAATGAGAGAATTTTGAGGAACGCCAACAGTGGTGCAGCGGAAAGTGAACGCTGGAGGCAGCTTGAACAGGGGTTACACAACCACGTTCTCTCTATACAAAACTTCAGAAAGGGCTGCGCCGTCTCAATATAGGTGTTTATCTGCATACAGATAAGTAAGTGCATACGGCACCTTGTTATTATTGACATATTATGTTTTTTTATTATTATTCCCTTTCACAATGTATACTATAGTCACATGTAGAAGTTTGACTTGCTATTCGGTATTCTTTACAATTCATTTCACTTTCTGTAAACTTAGAAATCATAGGCTAGGCTTGTGTGTTAATATTGTATCATTTGACTTACACCTTAACAGGAGGTTTAATGTGTTCTATGAGCTCTTTGCCTTTAATAGCTACAATTCATTTATTTTGAACGAAAAGGATGTTGAGGAGATTTTATCATGCTGAAAAAACGAAAAAAGGGCATTAAACTTTTCTGAATGGGTTTGATTGGAGTGCGTGAGATTCGTCTTAATGTTGTTTACGACTTACATAACTCTGATTGACGAATATAGTAACGTATTTTAACTCTCACTCTTGGTATATCCACATATACAAAAAGTAGAGCATCCTTTATGCCATCGTTCCTCCATATGCCATGAATTCTTCTGGAAAGTTGCATCACTTGTCTAAACGAATGCATTTAATGGAATTGACTTTCTTTAGCTTTGTATTTCCTTTAATAATACCCCCCTCCCTCTCCACCTATATATATATATAGACAATATAATCAGATTTCAGTGCAAGACACACATGATTCATGACGATTAACGTAAACGAGAGTTACTTACGCAGGAACTTAGTGTATTGAAGATAACGATCGAAGACAAATACATCAGAAAGCATCAAAGAATAGAGTTAAATGCGTATACAAGGGACACATTTTATAGGTACATAGTGTGACCACCTACGTGGAATGTCATTGAAGTTCCAGATCAGGAAACTATGCGCTTTCCATCTTTGGAGATGGTATGTCATGGTCCAGAAGTGTTGCATCTCGGGATCATAGTGTTCCAACTAGACTGCTTTTGCAGTGTGTATTAATTTTATGCACTGCAGCTAATTTCAGTGATCGAATAAGCCATATGGCATTCGATCACTATCTTTTAAACTTTCATTTCATTCAGTCGCTGAATGGGTCTTATGTCTTGAGAAGAAGATGAACATTTCAGGTTTTATTGAAATAGAGGTAAATCTAAAGGATTTATTATCTGAGATAATTACCTTTGCTTTGATACATTTTTTGTTTCATATCGAAGTTATGTGAATTGGCGCGAGTTCATGCTGCTGTTCTGTTTTTTATTATTTCATGATCTTTGGTGCCTCTTTAGTGATGCAAATCAAATAAAAGGATCCCTCTTGAAGATTGAGAACTCTCTGTCGTTGATTCTTCATGGTGGTTTGATTGAATCATAATACATGTTTTCCGTTGTTGGGTCATCAAACAGGACTTCTTACTAACTTCCTTATATTTTTTAAACTTTGTGTACTTCCCATAGGGTTTCAGGTCTTGTTAGTTTTCTCGAATTTTTTTCTACTTTATTGTTCCTCCTTCTTTAACCTAAATAAAGTTATCGTAATGAGAAAGCTGTCGTCTCCTGCGATTTATTCCATTGGAGCAAATGTGCTATCCAAGCGATTCGTTGAAATGAATCCTAGCCAACTGAAATTCAACCCTCCACCAAAGGATGAGAAACATGCGACACTCAATGGTGTAAAAACAAACTATTATCAGGCCATCAACGGAGCTCTCGACCATGCTCTTGGAGACAGTAAAACGGTACTGCTGGGTGAGGATGTTGCCTTTGGTGGGGTGTTTCGCTGTTCAGTTGGTCTCCTTGAAAAGTATGGGCCGAAGCGTGTGTTTAACTCCCCGCTTTCAGAACAGGGGATTGTGGGATTTTCAATCGGCATGGCTGCTATGGGGTGGAGGCCAATTGCTGAAGTGCAATTCGCTGACTACATTTTTCCTGCGTTCGACCAGCTTGTCAATGAGGCAGCAAAATATCGCTTTCGATCGGGTGGAGTTTACTATTGTCCGATCGTGATTCGCGCGCCATGCTCGGCAGTTGGCCATGGTGGGGCCTACCACTCACAGAGTGTCGAAGGATTTTTTACACATTGTGCGGGTTTGAAGGTGGTCATGCCCAGCACACCGTCGGAGGCAAAGGGATTATTGCTAAGGTGCTGGAAAGATAATGACCCATGCCTGTTTTTCGAGCCTAAAATCCTATACCGAAGCGCATTCGAAGACGTTAACCCAGATTACTACGACCTTCCCCTTGGTAAGGGGCGTGTTCTGTTGGAGGGGAAAGACGTGACGATCATCACCTATGGCTCGCAGGTTTACCGTGCTGTACATGCGGCGAAGATGGCACAGGAGGAAGGCATATCAGTAGAGCTGATAGACTTACGCAGCTTAATACCATGGGATCGTGACTTGGTTGTCGCATCTGTTAAAAAAACACGAAGGGCCATTGTGACACACGAGGCGCAGCTGACATCTGGTTATGGTGCAGAACTCGTGTCGTGCATTGCTGAGGATTGCTTCTTATCCTTGGAAGCACCACCTAAACGTGTGTGCGGCCTAGACACACCAGTCCCTCTTCACGAGCGACTTTACCTCCCTAACGAGTTCAAGTTGTACGATGCAATAAAGGAAATAGTGAAATTTTAGTGGATATATGGTAGTAAATAAAGGTATATCTTATGAAAAATAGCCTAAAACGATCTTAAAATATTTCATTCGATTCTTTTTATGAAGGATCTCGTTAGCACTGCTAATTAAAGTGTTCTACTTCTAAAAAAACGAATACGCATAAACATTTTTTTTGTGGAAACAACATTCCATCAAAGATGATTAGGCATTATCTCTATCATTGTATTACTTTATAGTTTATGACGAAACCTTTCCTCTTTTAATTTTTTTTTATGTTATATTTCTTTATTTATCATCCTTATACAACGCTTTTTTTTTATAGGCATCAGGTATCCCAGCCACTTCTCGTCATTTATTTTTGAACCTGTTGCGTCCTTTGACCCTAACTCTTGTTTCATTTGATATTTTTTTTAAATTAACAACTTTTATTTTCAAACGAGCTATAGGTAGTTGTCTCTCGATTACATGTGACTTCAATCATGTAACATCCAAACACATATGCTGCAATAATTTTGGAAGAGATCAGGAGCTTTTATCATAGGGGTAGCTCTAAGGAGAGAATTGGTTGTGATAGGTACTTTTGGAGTGACCTAATACTATCAACAACGTCACCACACTTTCCATTCTTCTATCTCGGTACTGGTGGCGATTTTGTCTTGTAGGCTTCGGTAAACGAATAAGTTTAGCGACATAGTGCAGCTTGTAGGACTAAATGACCCTCAAGCAAATCGTTTAAATATCTACAGACACACTCTATGTGCTCATTTCATTTGTAGGATCTATGCTTTGAATAACAAGAGGGATCCTTTTTCTCTCTTTAAGCCGTGGTGAATCTTTAGGACGATGTAAAATTTGTTTTTGCTGATTACATGTGTGCATACAAGATGAGCGACTTAACATCTGGCGCATAACCTTCGGCTAGGGTGTTTCAGTGCTTCGAGCAAATCATTTAGAGTTAGAATGTTTATATTTATCCTATTCCATTTCTCTTACACAGGAGTTTAAATACGAAGATTTTCGTCTCAGGGTATGGACCTGAAAGACGGACGAATCCAGGTCATTTAGAAGATACATTCTATCCAAATAGTATCACTGCAGTGTTCTATTTTGATCTCTTTCTGCATACTAATCTTCATTTCTTTCGATACATCATTATTTTCAGATTTTTCCATACAATTATAAATAAAATTGAAACTATCTAACATCTAAACTTGAAAAAATAAATACAACAAGATGTCCCAAATGGAACACAACTTGAAACTATCTGTCTTCGGCTCTCTACCTGAGCACCGTGCCAATCGTATCATTTGCACTATTGGCCCCGGCACACAGAGCACAGAGGCACTCAAAGGGCTTATTCAAAGCGGCATGTCTGTGGCTCGCATGAACTTTTCTCACGGTTCACATGAGTACCACCAGATTACCATCGAAAACGTTCGCAAGGCTTCAGCAGAGCTTGGCATCAATATTGGAATTGCTCTAGACACAAAGGGCCCTGAAATCCGAACTGGTCTGTTTGTAGGGGGCCAGGCGGTGATGGAGAACGGCGCCACGTGCTTTGTTACGACCGACCCCGCGTTTGCTGAGAATGGGACCAGGGACAAGTTCTACATTGATTTCCCCCAGTTGCCTCAAGTGGTGAGGCCAGGCGGTTTTATTTACGTCGATGATGGTATTCTGATTCTCAAGGTTGTGTCCTATGAAGACGAGCATACTTTGAGATGCATTGTGACTAACTCACACACTATATCAGACCGCCGTGGTGTGAATTTGCCTGGGTGCGACATCGATTTGCCAGCTGTTTCTGAGAAGGATTTGTGTGATTTGCGTTTCGGTGTAGAACAGGGTGTCGACATGGTTTTTGCTTCCTTCATTCGCACGGCTAATCAGGTTGATGAGGTGCGCGAGGCGCTGGGTCCCAAGGGCAAAGACATCATGATCATCTCCAAGATCGAAAATCACCAAGGTCTCCAGAACATCGACGCGATTATCGAGCACAGTGATGGCATCATGGTCGCGCGTGGAGACTTGGGTGTCGAAATCCCCGCAGAAAGGGTTGTTGTCGCACAGAAGATTATTATCAGTAAATGTAACTTGGCTGGAAAGCCTGTAATCTGTGCGACGCAGATGCTTGAGAGCATGACGTACAATCCAAGACCGACTCGTGCAGAAGTCTCCGACGTGGCTAACGCTGTTTTTGATGGCGCCGACTGTGTGATGCTCTCGGGCGAGACGGCTAAAGGCAAGTACCCTAACGAAGTGGTACAATACATGGCACGGATCTGCCTCGAGGCCCAAAGCGCGACTAACCACTATGTCACCTTTAACAGTATTAAGGAATTGCAGCGTATCCCGATGAAGGTGGAGGAGGCCGTGTGCAGCAGCGCCGTTAACTCAGCATATGAAGTTCAGGCAAAGATGATGTTAGTGTTGAGCAATACGGGCAAGAGTGCGCGTCTTATCGCCAAGTACCACCCTGCTTGTCAAATAATTTGCGTAACAAGCCGCCTGCAGACTTGTCGACAGCTCACCATTACCTACGGCATTGAGAGCGTCTTCTTTGATACTGAGAAGTTCAGTGAGGATGTCGATAAAGAAAAGCGTGTTGAGACGGGAATAGAGTTTGCCAAGAAAATGTCTTACGTAAAGGAAGGCGATTATATTGTAGTGGTGCACGCTGATCATCTGGTAAAGGGATACGCTAACCAGACGCGTATTATGCTTATCCACTAAAATGCGAAGGATCATAAATATTTAATGGGAAAGATATATTAATATACGTGCGTGTTATTATTGTTTTTTTTTCTTGTAAGCAAATTATGTAGTAAATGGTTGAAAATAATATTCTACAGTTCACATTTTTTTTCGCCCAAAAAGGGTTTGTGATTTGAAAGGTTCTCGAACATACCGTTTTTCATCCTTAAGGCGATTCATTCAATGTGTCAATCCGCATTACATCTTCTGAACAGTAGAGGAAAACAGTTAAACTTAGTAAAGCATTACCCGAGTTGTCACATATTTGGTATGCGTTTTCTATGCATAATAAGGGTCAAATAATAACCTACTACAGTTATCACTTCATTTTTTCTTTGAAGAGGTTTTTTTTTCGTTTTATCGTGCCTTATTTATGTGTGTGTAGCATCTCCCTGATGTGACTTTTCGAATTAGTTAATACATTCAAAAAAGTTACTCATAATTGTGATCTTTTTAGGAAAGAAATATTTAATCTCAATGGAGTATAGGCGGGAAAAATCAGATTTCAATCTTATGATTACTTGTAGTTGTGCTAATTCATCACAACTTAATTCGGGAAAACATTGGATAGATTATTATTAATATTATTATTATTTTTTCTTTCCCATGCGTGTTTTTTTCCTTCAAGTTTTGACATTTAATAAATAGTAAAAAAACACGCTCTATAAACTAGCGATACAGAGACGTGCTTTTTTTGGCAGTAATTTTCATTGATTTTAAGTCTAATATTCCTTTCTATTAAATAAGTTTAGATGTGCTTCAGGCCCTGCCACGTTTTGCGTGCCACCCAAAAAAGGTTACTGGGAACCATCAATGCTGCCCAAGCTCGTTCCATGAAATCATCCACCTTTTCCTTAGTGAACAGAAAGCCAACAAAGGCTGCGACTCCAGGGTTACAGAAAGGTGAACTGAATTTAGATACGCCTTTTCGCGGTGTATCCTTGTCACCCTCCGCAAAGCATGAGCATGTACACATAGAAAAAGAAATCACTGGTGTTTCTTCTTATGAAGACGTTCAGAAAACATCAAAACGATCGGAGCGGATGACATCAAAAAACGGGTTGTCCTCATCGCAAAAGTTAGACTCTTCTAAAGATAGGGATCAGGTTCAGTTGGAATCTCAATCTTTTAGCCTGGATTCAGATGGAACAGCAGGAGATACTAACATAAAGCTTGTGGAAGGTAAGCGTTCCATGAGATCTTTACTTCTTCTCGTATTGGAATGTGCGGCAGGCACTCTTGGTCGTTCTAATTGCAATTATGCTGCTGGGCGTAATGTCAAAGCAACTGTCGAATCTTCCTCTCGTTATTGGGAAGTTACCACCTTGGATTTACTGTCTGAGAACAAGCCTAACATAGCTTTAAACTTGACATACACCGAGGTCTCAGGTATTCAGTCAGAGCTCATACCATCACTAAGGGAGGCTGTTGATCTTTTTTCGCGCATGTTTGCGGCCACATTGCAGAGTGCGCGACCGCGTTCTATGCTGAGGTACTGTGCGATGTCGCGCATTGCGTGCTCAGCATCGCCATCATCCTGTAGCAATGATTTGTCTTCCGTTTTTTCCATCTTCTCCGCTGGGAATACTTGGTCGCAGTCGGCGGAGGCCCTAAAAGTCAGTGAGGTGCAGATCCTTGAAGAGTCACTACGCCATATCGCCACACGCTCTTATCACGTGCTTCAGTCTGATGTTAGCCAGCGAGCTACTTTCGTACGACAGTTAGTGGACTCAATAGATGCGGCGGTGATCCCTATGGGCATACCAGGAACCCAAATGAATTTTGTAAGAGATAGGTCTGGAGAAAATCATCAACGTCCGGGCAAGAATAGAGCTGACATGAATAATGACCAACGCACCATTTCGAAGTTATGCGCTCAAGAAAGCCTGTCTGACATCCTTGAAATGCTAGCGCTGAAGCTCCATTTGGCATATGTTCTTTTAGGAGAGCATCACTACGCTTTGTCAGGATTAAGTACTGATTCGGAGCCCAGCAGGCAGGAGAGACGATGGAGGGTTGACGTTGGCCGTGACCTACTTCGTGTCGTTTCGAGCGATGACAGGATTTACGAGTTTTGCACTCTTGCGCCTGTTAAGAAGGGGCAAATCGATTTGATCCGGCACAAAAAAATAAAAGGTTTCGGAGCATTACTAAGCTATGCGATTCAAATAAAGACCGCCGATGCCAAGCAAACCATGCGCATATCGCATCAAAGAGAGTTGATGAATAAACGAACCGCTTTGCATCATGTGTTGTCACTATACCTTAGCATGCTCCCTGACATTGTCGCTGCCCGATGCGGTAGCATGGGGGCTCAGTGCCCAGGCAAAGCTGGAATCTATGCGACCAATGTGGCGGGAGTTCTGGAACCGGGCATTGACGATGCTTCCAATAGTATCCATGAGCACTATGGTGGGTGCAAGGAAGTCGTTGGACACGGACAGCCTGAAGGCGAGGAGTTGAGGGTTTTGTCCAGTCTCAGTGAAGTCTGGTTTACGCACCAGCATGCCTTACGCATCGAAGGTGCTGCTGCTGCTATCGATTGGCTTCGTTTGGTTCCAGTTTTGATGACCAGCATGGCAAACATTGTAGAGCGCAGTTTGGAATTGGCGAGTTTGTCACCCATTCTTATGAATCCCTCTGAGAATCGTGAGGAGGAGCTCAATCGGCTGATGGATGTGTCCCAAAAACTTTCGTTACTTTTAAACAACATGCTTTTCTATGACTCTTCTGCCTTTGATGCAACACGGCAGTTTACCCCTTCTAATACAGTGGTAGAATCTGGCAACAATCACTGTTCCGAGAGTGCTACAGAGGACATGGATGACGATCCCGTGCAGCGTTTCCGCCGAAAACGTTCGATCTTTAACAAGGGTAGACCATCGGATGGTGGTGTGCTGCGGGAGGTGGGCGGAGTCGCGGCGTCAGTACCCCCTTCCACAGATCGGTTTAGCAAGGGTGGCCATTCCCGTTTTACCGTTCGAGATCCCTCAAGATTGGGGGGTCAAGCAATTGAGGGAGTTACCCACACCTACAGCCATGCGGGCCGTGTGGAAGAAGGATCCAGCGCACTTTTTCGTATTCTTGTCCTCTCACAAGACGCCGTACAGACGCTTGTTACTGCCTTTCCATTCATGAACAGCCATGGGCAGATAAATCTCAGCGAAATATGGATTGACATAATTCACGCTATGGGGCGTCTTCAGCAGCTTCTTTATGGCAATCCACCGTCATTACAAACACATTTGGTATCAACACAATCAAACTGGGATTCAAAGCCCAGTAAAGGCATTCAGAGCCTTACAAGGGGTGACAACGTGAAGTTCCTCTCAGATAAGAAGGATGGCAAGGAGCGCATCACGGATCTGGATGCAAACTTCGTAACGGATGTGTCCCTTGACCGTTTTCCCCATTTACTTGCATTGACAACACGCTGTTCGAATAATGAATTGCAATGCCACTGCGTCTTGAATATCGTATGCAGCATGCAAAAGATGATTCCACTCAGGCTCTTTGACAGCACATTGCGGATGGCAAACACATTGATGCAAGCCCTTCTTGTTTTGCATGAGAAAATAAAGCAACGCGAACCTCAGACAACTGTTCGCAGCACAAGTTTTTACCGAGACGTGATTCGTCAAAGGGATGAACTGCAGTTCTTTCTGCTGTTAGGAGGCCAAGAGCTCCTCTGGGGAAACTCTTGTTTCGCATTTGCAAAAGGGATCCAGATGGCGTGGAAGATGCGGTTAGCTCTTTGCTGTGGGGCATCGTACACATCGCAATCGGCGCTGTCATCAAGTGTACTGGCCCAGAAAGTGTCCCAGGTTGTAGTGCAGATCAGCAGGCTTTCCTTCGAGCAGTCGAATAGCATTCCTTCCGTTATTAAGACTTCGATTGAGATTTTGAAGATCTGGACTTTTTCCTCTGCCGATGGATTCCCAACCCCATGCCGAGTCCCTCTCAGTGTTTTTGGTGCCCAAATGTGCGCTGTGTGCATTTTGGTGGGTGCCTCCGTTATGGATTCAGTACACAGGAGGGACAGGATTAGGAGTGTAGCTCCGCTGACGTCATCCCCGCCTGGAACTACTAAAGGTGAAGCCATCGTCCAGCTAATTGAATTGTTTTCTTCCAATTATCGTCTCTTGCTCATGTGCTGCTACCCAGCTTTCTTGCACAAAATGCATGAAGTAATGCTACGCGTTATGGGCCCCCATGAGGAGCTTGTTACGCAATTCATTGTTCGGCACCTTTTACCAGTTTCAACGTCCATGGTTCTAATGAGCTTGCATAATTCCAGAAACTGTGACACACCTAATGCGCATGCCTTTCTTTGCGAACAGACACTTCTTCTGTTAGCTGTGTTATCTCACTTCGCAGAGTATCCTAATATTAATTCGAAGGAAGGGGGGAGGATTAACTCAAATGTGAAGGAGTTGCTGCAGCCGTGGAGTAATATTCTCATGAGTATAAGCATTTATTGCTTGAGGTTATCCAAGGGGCAAAAGGGGATTGTACAATCCGGGGATTTGCACTTTGGTGCTCCTTTTCTGCCACCACTCTCATCATTACCTACATCCATCTTAGAGGATGTCTCAGTCATTCTTAAGGATCTTTTAACGCTCTCGAAACCGTTACAGGAAGCACCTCACCGTATGTCTGCCGCTGCGGCTGAGGGTGTCCAGTATACTATTGATTTCGAAATACCTGACGACTCCACACGCTCTTTCCTACGCTTCCTACACCACTGTAATGGCTTGTTTCCATCTACTGCCTTCCATTGGTCTCGAGGAGATCACGTCAATCAAATACTGGATGCGCTACGTGTTTACAGCCTCGAGTTGGAGAGTAGTGCTTCTTTTAGCGTATTTACTGATATCGTTTCTTCCTCAGCAATGGATCGGACCAATTACAAGAATGCATCAGACGAAAAGCGAACCCAATGGCTCCGGGACTCAACAACAGCGGACGTGAATCATCCTATGACGAATATTTCCGATGCCCTCGACAACAAAGGGTTTGTGTCATTTGAGCGACAACGCGAAATGTCCCAGTGCTGGTATGGAGTACTTTCAGCTGTCCAGGTTGCCAGTACAAAGCGAATCGCTCCGGCCGCCCTTCACCAGCACCCCTTTAATGCAAAGCTTCTTGAAAAATTGATGCGTTTCTTAGCAAAAAATGCACGCCAATATTCAAAACAAAATGTTACACATGCACAGTCACACGGCACTGCTCTTTCCAATACCGGTACTATTGCTGCCACGAACGAGGCATGTCTCACTGCACTTGACTATATGGGACACATCAACGCTGATGGGGGCTGGCCTATGGTATACTGGATCTTTGGTATCGCTGAAGTGGGTGTCGCCGCTGAAAAAGTTGGTCGGGGGCGTGTAAGTGAGACCACACGCAGTATCGTTGTATCTTCCATTTTCCACCAACTGCGTGCGGTGCCACCCCCGCCACGAGACAACCATGCCATGCCAGGAACCTTTTCATACCTTGCAAAGGTACTTGTGAGCCTCTCTGACATGCTATCCAAGGAAGGATCCGTGACGCTATTGGGTATCGGTCGATCAAAGCGCCTTGCGGGACTGCTGGCGGAACCATCTGCAGACGATCTGCGTACAATCATTTTCGCCATCAAGCAAAGTGTGCTATACATCGAGTCCGGAACACAACCACTGCGGTCGACACGCCGCATATCGTCAGGGGAACTTGATCTCACTGAAGAAGATGAAATTACTTTTGAAACGACAAGTAAAAGCTTGTTTGCAGATACGGATCGCCAGAGTGCATTTTCCGGCCCTAGTTCTGGGGAAGCCGTGGCCCCTTACTACGTTAGCGTACTCAAGGGGGATGGGGAAGGTATTTCTAGGGTTGAGGAGAAGCGAGTTGAGTTCCGGCAACTCATGCAAACGTTTGTAGTGGCTTTTGACGTTATTCTTGATTGCATTCTACACCACTTGCTTCGCCAAGGCGCTATGCAGGAGGATTTGATGACTGTAGTTGCCATGTCTTATAACCTTCTGTGTCGTGTCTTTCGTGAATGTGTTTGGACGTTTACAGAGCTGCCGACAAAGTATCGCTCCAGCCTCACTAAAAGGGAATTTGGGATGTTGCTTTGGACTGGGCTGAGCATAGTGGCAACCGTGTCGAGTGCGTGGCACGTAGACAATCACGTAGGAACCATTTTTTTTGCTGACCGTGTCCTCCAGTCGTCCCAGGATTTAGTGCGCGCGACTCAGCGCTTGATCAACTATCTTCACCCAGATAACACGCTAGAAGCAGGTTACGAGGCTAGTGTTGAGCTTTACCGAAGATATCCTGTTTGTTGCACACTCATTCATTCTCTTCGTGATATGACGCAGAGTACACCTTCTAATATCAATAGGCGCATAGGTGCTGCCAATCGCCATTCCACTAACGATAATTTCACCGCTGTTCTGGCGACACTCCAAGTGTTGTTGGGGCGTGCTTCGATGCACGCTGCCACTGCAGGTATTGCTCAAAAACTGTGGGAAAAGATATACTTTGAGCTAGCCTCAGTAGCAGATGCACAGAAACATCACTTAAGGAAACAGAAGGAAACCGCGGAGTCAGCGGACAGTGACACCATTTTCCTTCAGGTACCATCTCTTACAGAACTTGAATGGGTTTTGAAAGCTGTCAAGAATATCGTTCCGACTTCGAATAATAATCCTGACGCTAAGAAAGCGGTCCATGGGTCTGAGGCTCTTTCTTCGTCAGACTGTGGCGACACGAATTTTGATGATCTCTTGCTTGCTTTCCGGGAAAATACGGCCATGCTTGTTCCCCACTGTAAAGCAACGCCCTCAGAAGGGAACGAGCAAGAGGATGGATCCCTTATGGCCGATACGACTATTGTACATGACTCTTATTTTCCACCATACGGCTCTGCCTTCGAGATAGTGGAGGATCTGTGCGTCGAGGACATTTTAGCAAGCAAGACGCTACCGGTAGGAAAGGTTGTCGATATTGTTATCCAGCAGGCAAAGAGTATCCTTTTGTTGGGAAGCACCCGTTCGGACTTCTCGCAATCTGTATTAACCAACAAGGTCTGGTTCGACTCTCCGCACACCCAGCAGCAAGTGTCGGCATATGTAAGGAACTTGCTGGGATTATTCAGCGCATGCCCCTTAGCTACCATATGCCAGAATCCTGGCGTTGAGGAACTGTTTGCCAGTTTTAGGGTGCTAGTGGATATGGAAGCGATGGAGGAGGGGTCAGCAAAGGATCTGGTGCCGGCTTCCAGGTTTATTACGCTGGGCCGTTGTCGCACGGAAACACTCTTGAGTATCAAGCAACTTTGGAGGCAACTGTGCCATAAAGTACACAGTGAGCTGATTGCTCCAAAAGAGGCTGAATTTCATAAGCAACATAAGGAGTTGACTGCATTCGTCCATGCATACCTAGGTGGGCAACTGCGTGGGAAGCGATCGTCTATCATTGGCAGTGGGACTGACATGTTTACATTCAACGCTGACGACGTTCGCAGAGAGGAGCAGGAGCTCTTATCTATCCTTTCAACAAGGTCAACAGTCCCACGATCACTTGCTACAGACCCGAATGCTGCCTATGAAGCCTTGCTCTTTCATGAAGCGGATGTGATTCGTGGTCTGCCTTCAAGTGCGGCAGCCGACTCCGCACCATTAAGCCAATCCACCCAGTCTGTCGACCCTGTGCTTAGGATGGCCGTTTCTAAGGCGAAGCTCTTAGAAAAACATCTACCGCTTGGTGTTGTTTTTACGCTTCTACGGGTTTTGTCTGAGAGAGGTTCTAAGAGCGATGAGTTTTGCTTGCTTGCAGAAGCGGTATGCACATATGTGTCGCGTCAGTATGTGCTACTACGGCCGCGGCTGGAGGACACGGCTCTCGATGTGTTGCCGTTGCTGGGTTTTCTTCAGCCTTGGCTTGGGTGTATTCAGGCTGAAAGGGATCGCGCACCGCGTCCAGAGCATACGAATTTGGAGGGGGAGGGAAAGGAGAAGGACCGATTGGATGATGTGATTGCCCGCTGTGAAATCCCCTCCCTCTTGGCATCTGCCAATAGATGCGCTGAACGAGTGCGGGGGATCTTTTTCCGCCCGAAGCTGCGGGCTCAACTTCGCCGATACTTTGCAGAAGCATCTGGGACCAAGGGAGAGGTCGGTATAAGTTTGGAGAAAAGTAAATCAGAAGAGATCCTAGCGTACGAGTATATTCGAGCCGTTATTGTTTACCTGCATCTTCTGGGTCTGCAAATCGTTGCACTCAGTCGTTTTAATCTCCAGGGAAGCATCGTCGAGGAATTAGAGTTGTTTCTAAGACAACAAAACCATGACCGAATCCAATCCGCTAAGCGGCGGAAAGCTCAGCCCGGCGCGGCATCTGAGGAAGAGACTGTCCAAGGCGTTAACCCCAGCGCATCGCTCCCTATTTCGGTGCTTCTGCATGGAGACTATCCACCATGGACGGCGACCCATCGGGCGGCCATGAACCAGGTAAACGTCAATCCCTTCGTCGCCGCTCTTCAGCACTTTGCCAACGTTAGTTTCGTTCTATTGCGGCATACCGACTGCCTCACACACTTTGTGGCGGTGCAGGCAATGTTTGAAAACGACCACCATGCATCCAGTGTTGCTTCTCCATCAGATAAGCTAGGCACCAGGTGTGCGGCCTTCGCAGATGAGTTGCGGCACCTTGTCGCAAACTCCCTTCAGGGCGTCTTCAAAACCATTCTAGACAAAGTCGAGCATGCCTCGGCCCCACTTGCCCGCACCGTCGTTCATCACCTTATTAGCAGGTTCCCTTGTGAGGCCGTGGTGTCTAATCCCGCGGTTTTATCAGCGGCGGCTAAAACGAAGGACGAGCGTGGGGACCTTGTGCAATTGTGGCAGCGTTGGCGCTTCCAACGCCCAGAATGGTTTGTTACTAGCCCGAGCATGCTAGAGATCCTTACACCCTCATTTTTTGCGCGCTGCCTGTCTACCAGCCATATGTCCAAGGCCTCTGCCCCAGTCATAAGTTCTATCGCGACAAGTCTTTTGGTTTACGCGCAACGCAAGGACATTGCGTTGTCCCCGTTGTTAATGGCGACGACAGCTCTTCTTGGCACCACGTCTAACCGCAGCACAGCCGTCCGTCTTCTGTGTGAGAATCTCGCGCAGGAAATGCTAAGACGAGAGGACTTTCTGCAGGCATTAGCGCCCCCAACGGTGGCAACACCCACTCACGGGGCTGCCGGCTCCGTTTCAAATGAGGTTCTCATCCCCTTCCTTGCTGCTATAGCACGTGAGGACATTCAGGTGTCGAAGCGGACCCTTGCAGCTCTTCTGCACACTGCCATGAGGATGCGTGCAGACGTTTTTGGTGAGCCTCCTACGGCTAATCGACAAGGAAATCTTAGTCTCTTGCGGCCTCTCAACAGAACTGCCGCCGGTAGTGGTGGTCTCTTGCACCAGACTCATTCTCCAGGCTTATCGCCGTCGCCGTTTTCATCGGAAGATGGGGCAAACAGTCAAGGAGGTGCTGAAGGTGTCGCTCCCCATACCACGGTTTCACACCAACAAGTGCACGACGTTGAAGGGGAAGAATTGTCTGCCTTAGGGGCCTTTACTATACACCAGAGCGATGCCTCGGCTCTCACACACCGACAGGCTCTGGAGAGACTCAACATCAGCTTGCCCGCAACCTTCGAGGTTGCGATGCATATGCAAGTTATGAGACGCCCCAATAAAGAGGAGTACCAGCATGCGACAAGCATGCTCAAGGCCGCGGACGACGCCCGAAGAGAGCGGATCCGCGCGTGCAGCTTACCGGTGAGTGGTACTAGTGCAGCATCACTACAGTCATCCCCGTCGTGCAAGCCCCTTGATGGCGGTCAAGTCGACAGTCAAATTGAGGAAGATAGCCGAGGCAAGCTCGATGCCGCCCTTCATCTCGAGGATTATATGGATTACGGTGTCGCCCTCCTTCACCTCCGGTTTGCGCTTCGCAAGATTGTCCATGCTTCGTTTCGGCGGCTCGCGAGGCACCAGCTTCCCAGAACTCTTGCCGACATGGCTGAGGCCTTGTATGAGATAGATCGACCCAGTTTTGCAGCTCGGCAGAGGGCGCAGCAGAAACGGCGAGGAACAGGCAATGCAACCTGCGCAGGCCATGGTACCTTGCGCGACCCGATGCTTATCGCTACCCTTCGTGTTTTTTCCGCGAGGGCGATTCTTTGTGCCCAAAGCATTGGCTACAGCCCCAACGGAACGCCCATAGTACTGAGGAGCACCTCATCGGCGGATCCCACACAGCCACGGGCTGAGGGTTCTCCGTCGCCGCTTTTGTTGCCGCCACATTCCCCATCATCGGGCCTATCGACACGGCATGATCTGAAATCTTCAACGTCAAAAGTAGAAGAAACGGACAGTTTCGCATCCCCCACAGGATTGCCGAAGCTCAAGCAGGAAGACGAGCGCCAAAAGATCGCCGTGGAGTCAAACGCTGCTATTGCTGTGTCTTCTTCAGGTATGCACACGACCAAGCAAACCCGATTGCGAATTATGCACGCACTTTCTTCCATGAAGCGGAAGCGTGTCCTGATGGGTGGCGACGAATCAATACGAGGAACCGCGTTAGCCAAACGTCAGCGCGGCAGAGGGAAGGGAGATGTATAAACGAAACTTTATACGACAATCGTGGCCTTTTAAATTGGCTCTCTTCCTGAAGTCGAGTACGAGGAATCTCATTCCAGGTACGGGTTGAAGTCGACAGGTAGTCGAAAAGGTGGAGCTGTATAGCTCGTAGTGGCACATTTCTCCTGTTTTCTGAGCTTGTACTGTAGCTATTCCATATGTTCATCCTTCTCTTCCTTACTCACCTACTCTACTTTTTCCCTCACTTAAATTCATTTAAATCAAGATAATTCACCTTGCTTTATTTAATTTATTAACGATACAACTCATGGGGGGGGAGCTAACAAATAAGGCGAAGATGATAATAAATTCACGGATGCCTTTTCCACGAAGGCGGTCACAGAGGGGTAATTTTAAGGGTCGTCTGCGGCGGTCGCTTCTCGTTGGGGTTATCGGCGTGCTTTTAATACTTCTTTGGCTATACTACGCTGGTGATTCGAGGCGGATCCCATTTACACCATCGGTGCTTCCTCCTGGTGGTACGCAGGATATGTTCCTTCGTCCCACAGGGACTCGCATGGTTGTTTTCGTTATGAGTGATAGAATAGATGATGCCCTTTGCTATTCTGCGGGCTCAGCTTACTTAAACGGACTGCCCGTGGTGATGGCCGGCTATCGGATGCCGTTTCGTGGATTAATGTCGAAGTTTGACTTTATGGAAGCGGCCATCGAGAATGCAGAGCTGCAGCCAGAAGACGTAATCATTGCAATGGACTCAGACACAATCTTCACTGGTGTGGACATTAACCCGTTCTTGGATCGCTTCATTGCGCGGTCCGCTCCCACGCCTGAGCTGCGATGTGTGTGCGTCTGGAAACGGGAATGAGTTTAGGGAACGGGTTAGGGAACGGGAACGGGGAACGGGAACGGGAACGGGGAACGGGGAACGGGGAACGGGGAACGGGGTAACGGGGTAACGGGGTTAGGGGTAACGGGGTTAGGG